TACAGATAAAAAAGTGATCAAAATTTTTACATTCTTATTAATAATAGAAAACTAAAGATAATGTTATTATTAAGTCAAAAGAAAATCGTCAAAGAAAGATTATATCATTAAATAGAAGCTTTTTTTAAGTAGGAAGGAGTAACAGGATTTGAATTACTAAAAACAATAATAAAAAGAAATCAAAAGTAAAAATATTGTTGGCATAATACATTTTAATCAAATATATGAATTGAATATTTTTTATGATTCAATGAATTAAGCCATTTTTTCAAATAGAGCAATTTCACTTATTTACAAACTTAAATGAGAGCATGTTTTTATTGAGAGCCCAGATCTATACACAAGCATTTTCTATACCAAAATTTATCTACTTCAGAATTCAAAAAATAACATATTGAATCTCTATATACAATTTGAGTTTTAAAAATTTGTAATGATTTTTTGAATTATATTATATTTATAAAAATAGTGCATAAAGTATAGTTCTTGGTAAGGAAACTCGCTTAGATATAAATCGGGCCCTCATCAAAAACACGCTCTTGTAGAAGAAAATGAAATGAAGTCGTACTCTATATATTATATGTCATTTTTATCTTTATTGATTCATGAATCTTCATTTGATTGACTATGATTGATATACTTATGTTAGAATAGAATTATTCTAGTTTGAAAAAGTTGAAAATCCCTTGAAAGTTCGTTAAAATTATTTCAGTTTAATTTATAACTTCAAAACAATAGGGAATTAATTCCCCCCCCCCAAAACCAGATTAAATCAACTAGAGACTTCAAATTGTGTAATTGATTTTAAAATCAATCTTTTGATGATAAAATAATTAATGAATATGTATTCGAAGATTTGTTGCAAGGTATATTGAAAAGTATATTTGTAAATCTAGGCTTGAATATCTAAGATATATCTACTATAGAAGTTTTTTAATACTAGAATCTGAGTTTAAATCCGAGTTAAAATTATGAGAAAGAATAAGATGAGAAATTCAAAGGAATTACTGTCCTACCTACTATTATTTTACTTATAACTATTAACTGTTGAGAGAAAAGCATTTAAATTTTGAAAATTCGTAGAATCTTGAATTTATCATAATTATTAGGAAAAAATACTATAAATTTATAGTTTGAAAATTATTTTTTCACCAACTACTAGTATTCTATACTGAATTCTTCAAAGGACTACAAATTGAACATTTCAATTGATCTCAAATAATATTGTTTTCATTGAAGCAATACGAGATAAAAATCATGCATTTTCTTATTAGTATCAGATATATTCTACATCGATGGTGGATTATAAGAGAAAGAACTTAGCTCGGAAAGCTCCGAGCAAAAATGAACAGAGGGGGATTCGAACCCCCGCGGGCTAAGCCCATGAGAATGCTAGTTGATTAGATCAACCAAGTATTTGAACTTGAGTCACACGCCATAACCACTCGGCCATCTGTCCTTTGCAATTGAAGATGCAAAATTGCACCCCGTTGTGCTATATAAAGCAAACAAGCATGCAGACAAAATTTGCTGCACTATGTGGGGTACGTGAGGGACTTGGTGTTCTGCTCGGGTAAGGTGCGGGCGGGGTGTTCGGATTGTTTGTAATCTTTTGAAGTCCAAGACGCTGTTAAGCAGTAAGAGCGGAAGAGCAATTGCGAGATGATAGTCGTAAGTCTCTAAAGGCTATGAGCTTATTCTTTGCGGTGAACGAGTCTTCCGTCGACAAAATATGTAATTTATATCTTCATCTTTATCACCACTCAAGCCTACCATCGGCGGGCTCCATCAATTTCCCTTGAATCCCTTCATCATTTTATCTTACCTTAAGAGCCTCCGGTGGTATAATTATGTAGCAAAGCAATGGTATTGCTTTCCTAACAATCGGTCAAGAATCCTGGGTCTTTCAAGGTCAAATCGCTCGTCAAAGCAACAGTCCCATTCGTGTATGTGATGCTTCTTGCGCCGGCGAGATAACGAGAGACTATCCTGCTTTACATAAGTCATCTTGGGACTAGAAGCGGAAGCACTGCCTCTTTTAGTGTACTAGAGTTTTCATTAGTCAGATCTTTTAAGAAAGAAGATCTTGAGAAAACAGTGACTTGTGCTGGGTCACATATGTGACACTGGCGGTGTTGTCATCGACAATCGCATAAAGTCTGAAAGTGTAATATCCGTTGGCTAGAAAGAATCACGAATGAAAGTGTAAGAGGGGTAGCAGTTGAGAGTCAAATCGTGGGAAATTGCGTGCATGTGAGGGGATGTTAAGATACAAGTGTCTGAATTGGGATGGAAAGAGACATACATACGAAGGTTAAAGATTTCTAAGTGTATATAACCATGAATTCCAATAGATAAAACGTATGAAACTTTCCGCCTTCATCCGCAAGGTAGCTAATGACTGAATCTCAAGATGAACTCACAATCGCATGTGAAGTTGGTCGTATGGCCAAAAGTAGGAAGCCTGGCGGATCAAGTCGAAAAGAGATGATTCTGAGCACTGATGCTCTTGTTCATCAATCATCCATTGACTGGGGCCATCGATTTGCCGCCGAGATATTTGTCAAGCTCCGAGGATTGGAAATCAACCATTAGCTACCGAGACCAAGACGTCTGCTTCAGCAGTTGAAGAGTATGCTTTTGATTCAACGTCTACCGGGGATCATGCAGCTCCCTGGAGAACCGAACACGGATTTGTCGCCTAAGGAGATAATAGAGTCAAAAATAAATTATCCGCTGTCAGTTGATGGGCCTGAAGAAATATAATTCAGCAGGTGCAGATGGAACGCTTTGTTTCTTAATACTGCAGATCGAAATTGTCATGTCTTTGCTAATATTCGAGAACAAGAGGAAAAATCTGTTCCGACGTGTGCTCATTACAATCATTCTGCTGCCATCTCAAACCAACACGTTGCACAACTAGTCTCTGCCTTACTTATGATACCAGTCTCATGTCCAAGTATTCATATCAGGATCTCTAAGTACTGGATTGGTAGGGTAAAGAACATGCACGCACCCTGTGATGGCAGAATCCGTGGTTGACGAAGTAATCCTTTCGTAATTGCCATAAATTCTATAATACCTTTATTATATATTAAATAAATTGTTTTTAAAGTATTAATATAATTAATTTAAATTTTTATATTTTATAAAGTTTATTCTAATTAATAAGTTCTTAGTGAATTTCTTAAATTCTAGAAGATTAATTGAAAGTTTCGGCCTAAAACAACAATTATCTATTAAATAGAAAACTTCTAGATTTTATTTGCTTTTTAATCTTTCCTCCTCTCTTCCTTTTCTTTTCTTTCCAAATTGATTTTCTATTAGATTTCAATAAAATAATAGAAAAAATCTTTCAAATCTTTTAATTAGAATTTATTAAGAATTATTAATCTTTTTATTATATTTTTATTTTGAATCTGTTATTAAATTCGAATAAAAATTATAATTTATTAATATATAGATTAAAGTCAGATTATATTCTTATATATATGATATATTCTATATTACATAGTATAATAATATAGCTTGTGATTTCATTTGAAAGCTTTTTTATAGATTTTTCTTATATGATATAATTTATAGAAAGGATTTCATTTCTCTTTAAATTTTCGATTAATGTCTTTTGCTTATTTCTTAGTTTCTATGTTTATTTTCCTTTTTTTCTTTAGCTTTTATTTATCTCTTTGATCTTTTATATATATATCTTCTCGTTTACCTTTTTTACAATTCTAATATTCAAAAATCTTAAAAGCTTTAAAACCTTTCAAGATTTTCATTTTCATTTTTTTTATTAAAATTCAATAATAAACAAATCACAAAAAGAATCGATTTGATTTATTAGTAATAAAGAGTTTTATTTATTATTAATGAATATATATATTAATATTATAATGTATGAAATAGAATTTTGTATAGGGATTTATATTGAATTTATCTTTGTCCGGAATATTAACTTTGCCACCACAGGGGCATCTCTTGAAGTAATCTGGTGCTTCAGAACGAATCGAGTTCACGAAAGGGTATTTATGATTTAACAAATAAGACATTCTAATCTCATTAACAGACATCGCTCATTTGATATCAGTTGATCTACGAACCGCTGGTGAAGACCTCCCGTGTTTAATCTTTCATGCCTGATATATGATATTAAGTTTGTGGCGATCACTGCAGGCATACCAAACAACTGCACATCAAGAACGTAATCTCCGTTGCTCCATGCATTCAGTCCAGCTCTTAGCGAGTTAGATGGCCTTTGTACCATCAAGCCTTTCAAGATCCCGGAATATTGTTTGTGGCATGTCAATGTTTCGGAGCGTAGCGAAAGAAACTTATGCGTCGGATTTTACGGAATTTTTTATATAGTGTATATATATTCCATTTTTAATGTTCAGGGATTTGATTTGTATGTGCTTATATTATATAGTCATACAATATATTTTCTGAGTTGAATTATATCAAGAAATTGAAATGTATAAAGAAAAGAAAGGAAAGAAAAAGAGTTTTATTAGATGCCCGATTTAGTGATACTGAAGCTATATTGTACGCTTCGAAACATTGGCGAGTTTACACGCTCCGAAATTTCAAGAGTCTGAAATAAATGATAATACGAATAATATGAACCTTTGGATAGCATTGAAGGGTCGGGGTCTATCGATGAAGCTATTGCGAGTGATATGAGGTGTTTTTACGGACGTAAACGACTCGGATGACAGTTGAACCCGCGAAAACCATCGTTGGTTCAAGTACTGGTTGAGTCATACGATCTTTTATGAAGAGAATGACTTTATCTTCTAGCACATTGAATCCAACATCACAAATAGAATACATTTTTCTAATTCACGTAGCCTGCTTTCTCCTGAGGCTTTGATTCGAATCCCGACTGGGGAACAGATTTCCAAAAATGTGTTTATGACGAAGGTGCTGATCAATAAGTTCCCGAAAACCATATCTCTGGGAGCTGGGATATCGCGCCCTTATGCTCGAGATATCGAGAAAGGCTATATTTGACACAAGCAACTAGAGGACCCATAATGCTGCAATAGATTTTCAACGAGAACGTCAGCTGTCGGGCGACATTTTTGGTCGAAAGCCAGCATATTTTGAAGGAGTGAGGCCATCCATGAATCTCCCAATTCGTTAAACCAAGGGCTTATCATATGTGAAGTCGCATGATAAACGTAGGTCATTCTATCAGGCTCATCTGGTATTGGCTGGCTTCTGTATTCATGAAAGTCCTCGATGCGTTCGCCATCAGCTACAGTAGCCATTTCTGCAAAAACGCACCCCAGGGAGTAAATATCAGCAGGTCGGCCCCTTCGATCATCTGAGATCACTTCGGGCGCACTGTACATTTTCGTGATGCCCACTAAAGACCCTTCCGTTGAACTTGTGACACCTGCACTGAACTGGTGGGCAGATCCGAAATCAGTCAAATAGACTTGATCACCCTTGCAGATTATATTATTTGGCTTGATATCCTTGTGTCTGATATTCTGAGAGTGAATATATGATACCGCAGAAGCAAGGCAACATTTCCAGCCACTCAGCAGCTTCATATCTTCTTCTGGAAAATCACTGTCACTAACTCGTTCAAGAAAATGACCTAGATCTTCGTCACCAGCTGGAGATATGAGAATTCCAAATTGCCGAGGAGCTTTGATTGTCTCATAAGTGCTGATAACCTTGACGATATGGTTATGAGAGAGCCCCCGAAGAACTGCCACCTCTTGTTGGATTAGAGGCAATAGCCTTTTTCGCGAGAAGCTGGGGAGACGAATGATTTTTCGAGCAATTAAACCATTATGATCTCTGTCATTGAAACGAACTGCATCAACGATTCCAAGAGATCCATGTCCTAACTGTTTGATTGTAGTGAGTGGAACAACTTTATTGCTGGTATACTCCTTGTGAGTATATTCAATGATGTCATCTTGAGGGATCCTGGGCGACGGGCAGACTTTTAGATTATATAAGCTGCCTTGATCCTTTTCAGATACAGCTTCTGTAGCAAAAGTGCTTCGCTCGGTTGCAATATTTTCGGTCGATATTCCCCGCCGTGCCATTTCAAGTTTGGGTATCGGGAGTGTTATTGCAGGTGATAGAGTAGGCGGTGGATCAGAAAAACACCGTATTGCAGAATCCTCGGAACCCCGAGTTTCTCCACTAACAACAGTTTTTGGCTCATCTGAGACATCCAAATCGCCTGAAGGATAGGAAGCTTGAGGGGGTATAGCTCCATTTGGACTAGATATCACTCTTTCACTACCAATCAAGCCGCCAAACCCAAATCTCGTCTTCCTCGCCAAAATTCTTGCTGATTCGCAGATAGTTCTGCAAGATTTGCAACTATACCCTTCGCTCCCCACGACTACCTTTCTCAAGCAGCCTTGGCATCTCCACCATTCTGCCTCGAATCTACATGTACTTAAGCCCTCTATTTCTTCCGCCGACAACTTTAAAGATAATCCTATGTCTTCTTTGTGGAAGGCTCGGAGGTGGGTTCTGTAATCTATCTTTGACGCACGAAAATCTGACCGAAGGAAACGGAACTTGGATCCTAATGCACTAGCAGTGCCTATTTGTGATTGACATGAGGGATAATCGCAAAGATGATAAGCTTCACCGTGGGAATGGACATAGTGTTGCATGAGTATTTGCTGAGAAGTGAAGCCGCTTTGATGTTCTGGACATGTTCTAATATGGCATGGGTAGGAAATTGTAAAATCATCCGAGAATTTGAAGGAAGAAGACTGACTATGCACTGTAGAAATATTATTTTCGCTCGAATTTTCACAAACATTAGCATCGGGCAATGCTAAAGCTGCAGCTGCATCCTTCTCTTTCTCCAACTTGGAGTCCTCTTGTTTTTGCCATCTTTTCTCCTCACTATTGATTGAGACTGCTTCGTTATCTCCAGCTGCACAGCTCACTGGCTGTGCTTGCAAGGATTGAACGCCATTCTTGCAATTGTCGCCCCTGATAACGTTTCTGGCGTCTTCAAATTCTGAGTCTTTGTCTATGAGCCACTTTTTCAACATATTATACCTGGTTAGAAGCCCGGGGTCGCTCCTGATCGAGTTGTAACCATCGCTATGAGGTATAGTACCATTTGTTGTATTATTCACTGTGACCCACTTCTCCAGAGCTAGATCTGGCCGTTCTAAATTATCGAGAAACGTATCTGCTTGATTGATCGAGTATTCCGCCAAATGAAGCAAGCCAAGTATGGAAGCGCCTGATGGTATATCGGGTTTCGCTGCCAGAAGGTCGTCTAAGTGACGATACGGACGTTTGTACGCCTTCCACAATATTTCATTCCGTACAGGAAATCTCTTGGTAGTAGGTACCGTTTTATTTGGATTTAGTGCGCCCCTCTTAGAAATGCTTTCATAATTATCTTGTTCTTCAGTTTTTGTTACCAGGACTTCTTGGTTTTGACGGTTGTCCAATACTTTCTGTGGTTTTTTTGACTTTCGTAGAGTCGAGTCCGTTTTTGATGTGAGATCGACTTCGCAATCCGGGGTGTTCTCTACAGGCTGCAGCCAGGCATTTGATGGCTTCAATTGTTCCCAAATACTGTTACTAGGCGTTGATTTGCGATGTTTGACGGCAAAAAACCGCCCAAGTCCCGGAAATTTCTCCTTCATCGCTTGAATTTCATCTTCATTGGTCTCGGTCATTCCATCTTCCTGTGTGGTAGCACTAAGTACCCCACTTTTCACAGAAAGCCATGCAGCGGAAGATCCGTCCATCGTCGCTCCATTCTCGATGGAAGCTTGGGATTGTCTCGAAATAGCTTGAGACGCTGAATCTTCCAAAATTTTGGCATTATCTTCGGGGATAAAGTTATCCATAAATTCGACGACCTTGCCAGGTACGACCCCGCAATCATTGGAAGGATGTAAATCGTGTTGGACTTGCGACAAAGCCTGCAAGAAAAGCGATTATTGCACGGCATTCCTTGCTAGGTATAGACTTCACTTCATGCAAAAGTCTTTGACTGTTATTGAAAGATTGTACTTGTCAGCCGCCCACGCATGGGTGTTGCAGGCGACTAAACCGCTTTTGAGACGATGCATTGTGATGCTTGCAAGTGACGACAGAGCTGGCTGGGGCGAGGAACAAATTGAAGAATAGTGGGATGACTACAAGAAAAATATGAGTGATCCTTTGTATTTATGCTTATAAATCAATGAAAAATGAAAGCAATGAAAGTGAATTAAATAAATAAATAAATGTTCTGATAGGTGTGCCCAGGTCCATTTTGACAACATCACTGATATCAATGTAGTAATATACTTTACCTAGCCCTGGAGGTATCTAGTGTGTAATGCAACGGGCATCTGAAAGAACCATGGCACGTGCGTGGCTGGAATAGTTTATCTTGACTTGATTGTGGCTCATGAAGCTGTGCACAGACTCTCTTGGCAGAAACCTGTTGGATGAATATCCATATGGATATCCTGGAGATTAGAGAAGACGATTGAATCCATAGTGATCGCTCCTCACCCGGTCAATTCTATTTCGAAACATCACTACCCGCCGTCGAAGCTTAGTTTTGTGCCGCGAAACTGAGATTTCCAAGTATTCATTTGTCAGTCGTCAAAGATGTCAAGATACACAAAGAAACGGCGCCTCATTGCTCGGATAGCATACACAAATACGTCATAGACGGGAGATGTTCAAGACTACCTAGGTGGGTAGGTAGCAATCTGAATTCTGATTGATCAAATCAACATTCCTATCCTTCTTTTTCCATAATATTGATAAAATATATGGGGATGCCATACGAAGCCAAGCTATTTTATCCTTTCCCATGATACACAATATCGAATTCTTCAACTTCTCAATGTTCCTTCCATCAAAATACTCGACAATATCCTCATTTCATTCGGTTCCGAAATTGCTATTACTCAGCCTTTGGTCACATTGATACGGCCTTCCTCATTTGCCAGTTCGCTCCAGAATCATGGACACACGTAATTCTCACGACATTCCAAGTCTCAACGACCCCCATGCTGTACCAACAGATCCCTATCGTGGACGCGCGCAACCAATTCACAATCTGCCTATAAGAGTCGAAGCTCACGAAGAAGACATACCTACTGATAGCTATGCCCTGGCAGTCGCAGATCACGAAGAGAAAGGTGCAGCACAACTAGATCATGGAAATGTTGAAGTGCGAGATTTGGGCTGGAATGATCATCCTGACGATGTTCCCACCCCTCTGGTCGGAGGTCTACCAAACGAAGAGTTATGGACTTTAGTTCGACGATTCAACAAGCAGATGTATCATGTCAAATCGTTGCCAGAGCCACCACTTGGAGGCCTGGACTTAAATATTGCGGATGAAGAGGAATTCTCACCAGATAAGTTGAGGGCAAATGTAGAGCGGTTGTATATGACAGTGATAGTCGGGCTTGTGACCTTTTGGAAACATATTGCAAGGTTAAGGTCGTGGAGAGAAAGAGATCGAACAATTGCTTTTGCATCAGTCTACTTCCTGGCTTGGCTTATAGACTTCCTAGTGCCGACGATTGTTGGCTTTTTGATCGTGCTTATAGCGTGGCCGCCAGCAAGAGAATACTGCTTTCCTCCAGCACCACCGGCACTTATTGACAGCTCAACAGGAGGAATTAAGAAGCCGACCGCAGGCGTGCTGGGTAACGACACTAGCTTGACTGGAGCGCCCGAAAAGTATCGAGGAGAGGCGGTTGAGAAAGAAGCTAGCAACTTCGTGAACAGCTTTACCTCCATTGCAATTAGTAGTACAGCAGGGAAACACCCTCAGGGAGATCCATCTGGTGATGAGGCGGCGCCCAGTGCCCTCGAAGATGCAACACCAGACCTAACAAACCTTGCAGTCCATGCCGCAGATGCAAAGGGAAGCAGTGCAGGGGATCAAACAAATAGCCTACATGATAAAACAAAGGAGCCAATGTCTGCAGCAATATGGTCAAAAACCCGACCTGTCATGCATGCCATTGCTGACATATCTGATGGATGGGAAAGATTTGCAAATGCATTATCTCCAACAGCACCATTCCCTCATGACAAACCTCGACTTAAGCTCGCTGGCTGTCTTGCGCCTTTACTCCTCATCTCTATGTTTACTAGTACCTATGTGTTTATGAAACTGAATGGGCTTTTCATCGGGTTCGGATTTTTTGGAGATCCATTGATTTGGAGAGGGCTTTCATACTTGAATCGCGAATTCCCGAATTGGCAAAAATTGTTGGAGATTAGAAACACTTTGCTGAAAGGTGTCCCAACAAATGCCCAACTTACAATCACATTATTGCGAATTGGTGAAGCGAATAAAGCTCCCATTCCACCACCTCCGTCTTCGTCTCTACCGCCACCTGACGTCGCGCATGCTACAGCAGGAGAGGATCTCGATCACCTTGGTAAGTAGACGACACTCCATAAAAAGAAACATACTAATTTATTCAGAAGGTGTATCCGAGGCAGAAATGGCTGATGCCATCAATCCCGACATGCATGCGACCACAACCAGTATAGATCAGTCAAAACCCAAGAAGAAAGGCCACCGTCTGTTGGCGGCCTTTAAAAGTGTTACTAAAGGTGGTGTCGAGACTGCCCTAGGAACGGATAGACTGAAAGCTGCGGCTGGAGCAGAACACGCGAAAAATCGTCTTGGTGTTTTGAAGGATGGGACGGACGATCCGGCGGGCCCTATACGCTTTCCCTCTAGATACAAGGGTCGAAAAGGACATGCATATTTCACAGCCACCGCAACAACCCCGGCTTTGAGCTGGACGACGGAGAAAGAGGACATTGATCCTGTCTTCTCCATAGCGATAGCTGACATTATGGTAAGTTCCATCGATATACATGCCTGTACACGTTGAAAGATATAAGCTGACACAGCAACAACAGGAGATAAAGAAGGTTGGTGGGCTAGGCTGGAAAAGTAAGCTTGTAGTAGGATGGGCTACATCGCGAGAAATTGCGGATGGACTTCTTGTCATCGGCAAAGCTGGGGACCGAAAACAACTTACCGCCATCGCATTACGGGAAGAATTATTCAATCGCTTGATTTCAATGGGTGCACAAATGTGGGAAGCATGGTAGAGAGCGTTTGGGCGCTCATTAGTTTTGTGTTTTGATTCCCTGCTCTCTGTGGTCTGGATTAATTGGATCGCAACAATAGCACAGAGGCGCTTATCGAGAACGCCAGATAATGTATGTTTGTTATCTTGAAGCGAAAAGTGAAGGCATAGGTTCTTAGGTGGCCCATCGCTCCAAAATAATTTCCGAATAGAACCTGCTTGTTTTTTCAGGGTCGTCATTGCAGGTGCCCGGCAGTCAATCAATAATGCCTGACTTCTTTATACATCGTACTGCGTAAGGTTGCATAAGTGGTCGAAGAATGAAGCTTGAATGGCTGGGAATGAGTTTTAGATAAGCACCCAAGGGATTAACCCCCGATGTTTTATCGATGCGTAATTAGGTAAGCTATTTGATTGGTTCATGAGCTTCATCAATTGACGTGGTCAATACTAGGGACAGGGGGTAGGGGGGGGCAGTATGGTGTCGGGTGCGTATTCCAAGCATTCTTGTCTTGACCGACACCGACCATAGGTACAACTCAAATTTCAATTATACCCATGACGTATTTGAATATAGCTTCAACCTCCAGATTGCCAACCAGACTTGCTGGGATGAATTCTTTGACACCGTTTTCAGGATTGGAAGTCTTGGTCATACGGAATGGAGGACAACAAAGGTAAAATCAGGATCTCAAGATCTGTTCCTGGTCTTCTTTATCCGCTTTGTGAATTGATTTATTGGGTGCTTGGAGTGAATTTGACAAGGTAAGAAGAGAAGGAGAGTTGTGTTTCGTGTCATGCCATGGTCAATTAATTTCTTATATGAATGATTCAAGAGTCGCTATTCAAACAATCATTGAATGGCCGATGATTGAATTGCTCATCATTTCCTGTTTCTTTCAACTGTTGATCTCCTAAAGAGCAGATAAGTACTCGTTCATTCATATATACACACCACCTGGGTAGCATCCATCCATCAAAAATTATCACACATCAAATATTCCAATCAATCACTTTCCAAGATGCAGCCACTAGCTGCCATTCCGTTGGCTTGTTCCATCGTGACATTCGTGCTTGGCATGTTGTGTCTTTTCGCAGGCAATAAGCCTGGTTTCATGGAGGACTACCACATTGTGACAGTATGTTCATGAGTCCCCAATTGCAAAGAGACCGCTCTAATTACATACTCTCCAGCTCAATACCTCCGGAATTGGACAAGATCTCATACCCACAACAACCAGTGGTTCTGGTTCCACACCCACCTCTCTATCCCCAGGAGGAATCGTTAGTAGTCTTAGCAGCTTGATACCCCGTGAACCTGGAATTGGCGATGACATTGCAAACGCATTCGGCGATCTTGAAAACGAGATTGCAGATAAGCTTGCAGAAACTTTGGGTATCGAAGAATGGTACTCACTTCATTTGATGGACATGTGCCAGGGATATTATACGCCAAATGCAACTTCCAAGGGGGCAGGATTTAACGTAAGCTCTTGCACGAATCAAACTGCCATGTGTAAGTACTATTGCTTTCCAAATCTTTCTGTCACTCAGATTGCTCATATTTTCTCACAGATCACTTCGAAATTAGTTCCATAATCTCTGAACAATTATCTATCGGCCCCCTTCATCTGAATCTTAGCGACATAGGCTGGCCCTCTGCTATTCAAGATGGTCTCGACACACTCTCCACAGCTATGAACGCTACCTTTGTATTCTACTGCATCGGCGTTGCAGCCGCTGGCCTAGCAATATTAACTTCGCTTGCCGCAATCTTTATAACAGGCCGTCTCTTCTCCTTCCTGAACTCGGGCTTAGCATCACTGTCCCTCCTGGCTCTTACTATATCCTCAGTCATCGTCACTGTTCTCCAAAACAAAGCTGCAGAAATTATCAATAAATTTGGAAATGATATTGGAGTGTACGCATATAAGGGACAGAAGTATCTCATCCTGACATGGGCTGCTACAGCTGTTATTGCTGTTGCGACTATTGCATGGGTAGGCATTTTCTGCGTTGGTCGCAGACAAAAGGGACGTGAATTCCATGAGAAGAGTCGATTTGGAAAGAAGTCAAGACAGAGTGAGAGTAGCGAATTTGCGAGAAGGGGTGCGTAGATATTATGTTCTTTTTTTGTGGCCCAGAAGCTTCTTTTGGGCATGTGGATAGACGAGTGGGATTGGGACGAACTATTTTGATCAGATACCTGCAGATTTGAGGCATGGTTTAATTTTCGTTTATTTTCTTTTATGTTTTAATGGGAAGGTGAGAGTAAGAAGAGGCGAAATGGATTGCCAGATACCTGCAAAGTTTTAGCAGGAGAATGGCGTAGATTGTCATTCAGATAATGATTGTATTACAGCGAGATACCCAGAGAAGTAGAAAGAATGCAATAAAGAAATTTTAATGTATGCCGATCAGTAGAAAATAATGGGCACAGTGAAATCAATAGACACTTTCTTTCTCACAGTTACTCAGTACAATAGCACATATATTTGAATGCTAGAGAACGAGGTAGATCTCTGAAAGGGTAACAGTGCTTAATGAGCGCCACTCGAAGTTGGAATTAGGTTCTTTTTCACGGAAGGATATCCTTACTAGCATGACCATGTCAATCTTCTGATGGCAAGGGTCTTTGAGTATTCTGAGATACCCGTATGAATAAAAGTGCCTCCCCTCCCATTCTATGCTTTTCTTGACTTGATTTTACCTTTTTAATCTGCCTCAGATGGGCCTGTAGATTAGCATTACCTGGGGAAATCACGTGAGCACTGGTCCCACATCTCGCAATTTTGTTCTTGTCGTATGTGACATTTGGGTTCGACCTCTCGATGATATGACAGCGCCCTATCCTATCCATACATACTGCAGGCTCTTAAAACGTCATCGATGGCACTTTTCTGTGTGAAACGAATCGCGTTAAACATGCATGCGCAGTTGATTATGTGAAAGAACCAGCCAGGTAATCTTCCTCTTCCTCCTCTTCTCCTCCTTCCTCTCCTCCTTCCTGTCTCCCTTCCTGTTCCCTTTCCCATTCTTCCCATTCACTCTCAGTGTACCCCTCAGTCGCTTGTCTCCATGTTCTATTCCAGTCTTTTAATACAATCAATGCTTCCTCGTTGCCCAGTATCGGTGGATCCAGCCATGTATCTGTCTCGCCGAATGAACCCGTTACTCTTCTCCAGAACAGGTCTCCTTCTTGATAAAGGTCATATTTCCTCAAATTTTTCCGCATGTCTTCGAATAAATACTCTGTGTTAGATTGCATTGACACAAGAAGTGTATCGCGCCGAGACTTGATGGCATCTACTATTGCCAGGTTTTCTTCGAGAAGATTCGCGGCCTTTTCTGGGCCGAAAGCCGACTGCCATATCTCGGTCCGTAGATCTTCATCTTTCTCCTTCAAAGTCACAAGCTTATTCACCCATGTCGTATATTCCCAATGTTTTTGTAGTACATCGTTCCAACGTTCTGTCAACTCTTCGGTGAGCACAATTGCTGGTAATTCTCGACCTTCAAGATTCACATGAATCAAGTCTGTCGAAGATTTCGCCCCTATTCCACATTTATTAGCCCAAGGTTTGCTAGAAGGGGAGAACAGCTATTTTGCTTACTGGGACTGTTGCGTTCGTCGTCATTGTCATCGTTATTTGCACTTCTTCTCTTTTCACCTCGTTCCTTTCTTCTGAGATCGTCAATTTCTCGTTGAAGGTTCTTATTCTCATTTCTCAATTCAGCCAAGTTTTGCTTCTCAGCGGCGGCTTCAGTTCTTAGCTCGGCGATAATTTGCCTAGTATCCTTATGTGTTTCTCTTTCGACTCCGAGGTCGACCTTAAGTCGCTCCGTTCGCTCTCTTTCGTCATTTATTTCCTGTTTCAACTGTTCTATTGTCTGCCTTGCCACTGAAATATCTGGATCTTCACGCTGAGTGGTGTAATGAATACTTTCACGGATAATCCGTTCGAGACTCCTAATTTGTCTACGTAGAAACTCCACGTCATCACTAGTTGAGACCCGTGGTGCGATCGGTGGTGCTTTGGAGCTTTGAAACCACGATCCCCACCACGAAACAGTTTGATCGGATTGTATAACCCGAACCATTTTTTTGATTTGTGATGGAAGCAGGTCGAACAATTTCGAATGGCTGCAACCTAATCCTTTCTAAGTCGGGGCTGGTCTAACAAATTGAAAAACTTATTGATAATGTTGTAATATGTTTATAATTTTTTCGAGAAGTTCGTTGAAACTACATTCTTTAAGTATAAATAATCTTTGACTTGCTATGTCAAAATCCTGGATCATACGGCCGTCTCTTAGGCCAATACATATTGTCTTTATTCACTGAAGACAATCTACGCCGTACCGAAAGCCGAAAACGGAAATGTTGCGACAAAGAATTCTGGCCCATTATTTGTTCACTGCCATGCTCTATCAAAATGATATTCTATCACAGACCAGCAGTTATGTCAACCCTATTCCTAATAATACTTGTTTGCAATAAAAGTTAAATTAATCAAGAATGGCTCACCAAGGAGGCACACAGGGAGGCTCACCAGCAGCTTGGGGTCGCGGTGGCTCTGCGAGGGGTAATGAGTTAGGATTGAATCGTAATGCCTCTGGGAGAGGCGGTGGGCTAACTCGTACAACTAGCGGGACAGCGAGAGGCTCAGTGGCTCCTCCAAAGGGTAGAGGTAATGAGCCAGTTCGGGGCGGTGGCCATGCTGGAACAGTTTCGGGTAATGTGCCATTAGCACATAGGCCTGCAGCTGGAGCCCTGACCCCGTCCGTGATCATGCCGACACAGGGCCGAGGTCAACCGGTTCCGCTAAAAGGAGCAGCGCCCGTCTTCCAACCAGGGGTACCATTGGGGGCAAGTCCTGTTTCATCAGTACCGCCCTCTGGCCAACCTGGAGTAATCGCAACAGCACCTTTGCCACCCCCTTGGCAGCTTGTTCCTTCGCCTAATCCTAGGATGGAACTTCCATATGAAGGTCATGAGCTTCCTCGGTTTCCTCATGAGCCTTGGGAACATGGGAAAGCAATGCTAGATAGCCCATTTTGGTACGACCCAGTTCCTGGCACCATTATAGTAGACGAAGTAGAGAAGCCAAAGCTTGATAAGAAGCTTTATGAAGCCGCGGGAGACAAACAACCCGAATGTAAACCACCCCCATTGTATAACGAAGCAATAATGCAAACGGCACCATACAAAAGGATGGAACGGTACGGATCGGTGCATTTCGCAGAGGCTTACCATCACGGGGATGTAATATGTGCAGCAGAACACTACCCCGACTTTGCCAGAACAATCCCGGAGCAACATGATAGATACCGAACGGACACAGTCTTTGGACCCGTATTCTCGAAAGAACGTAAATACATTATCCTTCAAAAATATCGCGACCATTGTGTTGTGATACCAATATTTACACACACAGGAAGAGGCCTTGCTGCCAAGCCACTGGCGGTAAGGGAGCATTATATCTCAATACGCGATGGAGACCGACCTAATCAGGCTCCACCAGAGAACAATCATGGTAGTCTCCAAACGCACAGATACCCACAATTTGAAGACCGACGAGATGGACGGAGGGTTCCACATTTTCACATCATGTCCGATAAATCTGCCGCTCATTTCGTTTATCCGATATGTCATAGATATTCAGTGCCATGTATCTTCGAGTCGAGATTAAGGGGAGACAGTCTCGATTACCTCTTACATATCTATTTGAACTATGGTCCGAATCCGTCCCCAGAATATTTCACGCATAGGAGGGATCGGCGGATTACAACCGCGGGGGATAATATAGCACAAGGGGTGTAGCAAGGTATATTCGGCATTTTCCTTACATAATTTTAGATGCAAAAATTTAATTTCTTTTAGAAAAATGAGCTCCTCTTGACGCCCTTAGCATCAGCCACGAATAACTTAGGTCAGATTTGTGTATAAAAAGGGTACGACACCTTGAAGATTGGAAACGCTTTGAAAATAAAAGATAATTCAAAATTGTTAGCAAAGTAAAAATTGTACTGGAAAGGATGGTGGGGATCTGGATACTCTCAAAGTAAATTTGTAAAGCCCGCACTCGCATTGCTTCTTGTAAACTACATCAATATGTATAGTGTCCTGACTTTATACTACCTTGATGTTGATTGTGAATCGCACATGTAGGTAAAATCACTTGAACCAGCGCGTCGGTCAAGTGTTGAGGTATACTGTTCCTTACGAATGTGATATTATCATCCAGGTCATAAAAGCCATGGATCTACAAGAAGGTATCTTTATTATCCTCGGAGAATATGAGCTCCTAAAGGACATGTATCACCCATGTGCTGGCAAATGAATCTGTCTCTTAAAATCCCACATTTTCCCGAATATGTCTATGAAATATGACAAGAATACAACCAGACAAAGTAGGTAATTAATACAGTATAGCTTTAAGGAGTCTCTGGATCTGACTCACATTCTATGCATTTATTTCATATGCCCTTGTTCTTCTTCTTTTTCTTTGTCCGCCACCTTTCCTTTGCTTTGTGATCCTTTCATCTTGGTGATTTCTGGTTCTACCCACACCACCCATCAGCATCTCTTTCTCTCTGGAACCAATCCAGCAAGTATTTATCCATGCTACCGTACGCGACGTACTCTTTGATCTAGGCTACGGATTTCTCTACCTGAGAACTATGAGCTATTATCGCGCCCGGCGTATTTATAATCGGAGCTGAGTTTGATTTTTTCATGCCGTCTCCTCCACGCCAATACAACCTCATTCGGTTATTAGTTCCTTCTGTTCGCGAGTCCATACTGCGAATTTGTTAAAATTGTTAACACATTCATTCTAAATTCTAAGCAAGTCGTCTTTGAAAAAAATATTGCTTTGTGTTACTTCTCCCGATATTCGACTGTATTCTGAGCATTCAAGTTCCTTGTTCGTTAATTCAATAAATTTCATACATGTTTGTCGCAATAAAGAATGGTAGTATGTCCAATCACAGGAGTTGAGACCCTTTACTCCGGTTACCTCTTGGATGTTTCATTCTTGTGAATTTCCTTTTTGGGTTTTGCGTGGAGCAAGTAAAGGTCTTGAAAGTTTTCTCACACAACTCCGTTCGTTGGTAGTCTTCAGTTATTTTAAGTCGATCGCTCAATATTCAGTTGCAGTAACCTTACATTTAGGGTCTGGAGGGGGGTCAAATATAATGCTCCGAAGAAAAGGAAACAAAGTTCGATTGTTAAATAAGGATTACAAAGTCTGCATATGGATTTGAGAGAAAATCGAAACATATTCCAAGAAACAATGTCAAGCTAGTACTAGAGGGATAGAAATGAGATTACTTCTACCTCACAATATGATCTTAGATCAACTATCAATGACGATCATGGCGCGTGAAGTTGAAATATGACATAATGACAACTTGCTCGCTGAAATTTCCTAGCCTGAAGTTTCAGTCACTCTCATTGGCTTCGCGTCAAAGTTCAACCATCTGTCATTGACGTGCCCCTAATCAGTTTAAGCGAGTCTAGTGCAATGATCTGCTTCTTGAAGTTGGCCTCGCGTGGCACTATTTAGCAAATTCTTTTGACGAATATGACAGATATATGTTCTTTGTCAATTTCTAACACGCTGATCGAAGACGGTTGCGTGAGCTCAATGATCAGAGGGCAAATTTTTATTACGAAGTGCAAAAAATAGTCCAACATTGCTTACTTAGTACCTTTCTTCTCAATTTCTTCACTCCATAGAATTTTTGTTCTTCACTTTACACTTCACACTTCACACTTCACAAACAAAACCCTCGACATACAAGTCGAACGCACAAAACCTACACAACTTGATTCACATAAATCTTCATGAATACGTTGTCAAGATGAAGATTTCAAAAGCATGTGTCCTCGCTCTCATCACCTTCTTCACCCCGAACACCGCAGTGGTGATTCCAGAAACCTCTACTCGAGACGGAGATCTGGTCCCATTCAACATGACCACTGCCGAAATCCCCCCACCATTCGTCGTACTCTCCTCCTCTCCCTCCCCCACGAAGACCAAACGCGATGAGGCCAAAGAATCCTACAGAATAATCAATGTGGTTCAGAAACCCTGGCCCTGGCAAAAAAATAAACCAAAAGTAAAGCCCAAGGTTACACCACGTCCATGCCCATACCCAAAGACTCGCCCATGCATCACGCAAAAAGAGATCGATCAAGGATGGCATGATAAGGCAGGATGTTACAGCAGATCCTGGTTTTTCACCTGGGGGTCTACACATTGTTGGGACGCGGGAGATGATTGTGTTAAGCCAGATTGCAGATATTAAACGTGAGCCAGTGTCCCCAGCTATTATATATAGAGATGTTAACTTATACTAGCTATAGAATTTGATAATGGATTCATCACATACATCTTAAACGGCCAAGTCAGAAGAGTTCAACTATCTAGGTGTAACATCAGTATACAATGCTTTTAAATAAGATATTAATCTTACGCGAGAATTTAAGGAGGGAAAACAATTCAAAACCTCTGAAATTATTTAATAAGTCTATATAGTTCTATAAATCTTATAAACAGAGTATATTAGATTGAATTACTATATAAGACCGAGTTTAAGATGTTTATAATATTCTTTTGAAATAAATATCAACGAAATTCAACTTTTTAATATATAATATAGATTATATAACTATAATCTAGATATTTGATTTAGTTTATAGAATTATTTGATAATAGAAAATCTGTGAAATATCAAAATTAAAACAATTAGAAAACCTGAACTTTTTTTATAAATTTTTAAAGACAATCTATAGAAAGTCAAGGGGTAAAAATTAAAGTGAATTTTTTTTTTGAAAATCTAAGAATCTAAAAAAATGAAAAAAAAAAATCAGAAAGATTAAAAATGAAAATAATAATAAGACAACAATTACTTTTGAAATCATTCAAATCTATAAGTTAATTAAATATCTAGTTTCAAAGCGATTATACGATTATGCGATAATATAATTATATAAGATTCATTGAAAACTAGCGATCTACATTAGAAAGTTGAATTTTATTATTATTTATCTCAAAAAGACTCTATAATATTAGCATTTAGATGATAACATTCCTCTCTGAATATCTAATGATTGTATCCGAACGTTGTAGGCCAGATTCTGTACCGCAAGGATGTTACAACTATCATCATATAATCCCCATTCCATTTATGCTAATCCCTGATCGCAACTACCCCACAATAGCTCGAAGCTTCAAAATAATTTACACTTCGTAGGTATACACACACCTTTCAATTCTCAACTTCTGCGATTCATTTTTTCTTCCCAATAACAACACTAACTCTGCACAAGGTTGTTGTTTTTTTTTCATATTAATTGCTCAACCAACACAAACCAACCATGCTTCCTTCAATTAGAGCAGCATCTCTGCTCGGTCTCCCTTCATCTTTGCGTCCATTCTTCCTGTCACGACTCTACGCAACACATACAGGTTTAGGTACCACAAGTGCCTCGTCGCAACCAAAAAGAAAGGCCGTCACTACCTTCAACGACGATGGCAGAGTTCCTTGGCGTGACTTGTCGCGGCGGGAAAAGGTTGCCAGAACTACGCAACAAACGTTCAATCTTGGTACTGTCCTTGTCGGCACAGTATTGACGGTATGTAAATCGCAATGTTTTCACATACTTCACCGCTGACATTCAATGCAGGGAGGCGTCATCTATCTTCTCTACACAGAAGTATTTGCGCCCGAGAGTAAAACCAACCAATTCAACAGGGCCGCCGATCAAGTCAAGAAGGACCCGCGATGTATAGAAATACTGGGCGATGGAAAGAAGATAAGAGCATATGGCGAGCCAACAGCGAGCAAATGGGCAAGAGCTGGGCCTATTGCGTATGTATCCTATACTACATCTGTGCCCGAATTGTACTAACTTTCATTAAGATCCAATATTTCGAAGGATCGTAGAGGGGTGGAACATCTGGTTATGCATTTCAACGTCGAGGGTCCGCTCAATCAAGGTGTGGTGAACCTACATATGGTCAAGCGACCGTCTGAGAGCAAATTTGTATACAAGTACTTATTCTTGGACGTGAAAGGGCATCAAAGAATTTATCTTGAAAACGAAAATTCAACGAATAATGGGCCAGGGAAAGGCAAATTCTTGGGGGTCACTTGGCGATGATATGAATATCCGCTTCAAACTGGGACATCGAGAACATTGCTGGGCCGGGATGAGGTGGTGTTTGACGTTTACCTTATAAACAACTGGGAAGAGTTGGGTGGATTATGAGGGGTTAATTAACAATGATTTGAATATCCGATCCAAACTGAGACATTCGAACGTTACTGGGCTGGAATGAGGTGGTGGTTAAAACCAATTTTAAATCCCTTCAAATTTCTATATCATCTAGAGTTTCAAGCTTGTGATACCCTGTCATTACCTAATCTATGCCTGTAAACTGACCTCACACCGCTTTACCAAATTAAGCTTAGTGGATTTGAACCTCAATTGACGTGCGAACGCCATGGCAATCTGGCCATCCCTCGACTACAACAATAATTTGAATCCGATCACAAAAAGGGGTCTTTTATTTCTACGCAACTCCAACGAATTCCCGTCAGAGATAATAACATCTACACATACTAGAAAGCTATCTAACATGGCAGCTCTTGCTTCGAAGGCGCAATCCCAGAAGCTCTTCGAGAAGTTAAAGACAAAGCCAGCAAACAGGGTACGCAAGACAAATCTTCTCTGGATAAATGCAATCATGATGCATGTGCTGATATGCTTTCGCGCAATAGATTTGTTTTGATTGTGGGGCAAAGAACCCGACATGGACGTCTGTGCCTTTTGGAATCTACCTCTGCCTTGATTGCTCATCGAATCATCGCAACTTGGGTGTTCACATCTCCTTTGTGCGATCGACAAACCTTGATCGTACGTATAGGGCACGACCTTGGAAAGGTCTCGGGGCTAACATTGTGACCAGAATGGCAATGGGATCAGCTTCGGGTTATGAAAGTTGGTGGTAACGAATCTGCCACGAAATACTTTCAATCAAATGGAGGTACTGCAGCACTCAATAGCAAGGACCCCAAAACTAAATACCAGTCGAACGCGGCCACGAAATACAAGGAAGAGCTGAAGAGACGTGCTGCCAAGGATGCTGCAGAGTATGTCATTTTCTGAGGATGTGAGATGTCAATGCTGATTGATGTACAGATACCCCAACGAAGTCGTTATCACCGATGCGGCGACTGATGCCGCTGACGGAACTTCTACACCTGCCGGCGAACCTGAGGATGACTTCTTTTCCTCTTGGGATAAGCCTTCGATCAAGCGACCAACACCCCCAATCTCTCGAACTGCCACACCACCTGTTGTTGGACGAACACCTTCCCCATTCCTCAATGCCGGTGCCAATGCCGCTGGTAACGGAATCGCAAGAGCAACATCACCACTAGGAAAAACAGAAGGGACAGCTGCAGCGCCTACGGCTAGCCGTATTACATCGTCTGCTGCGTTGCGGAAAAGCGCTACAACAGGGACCGGACCAAGAAAAGCAAATGTCCTCGGCGCAAAGAAAACCAAGCTGGGTGCGAAGAAGGTTACTGGCGATGTAATTGATTTTGATGCCGCCGAGCGTAAGGCAAAGGAAGAAGCCGAGAGAATCGAGAAATTAGGCTATGACCCTGAGGCCGAAGAAGCTGCGACAAAGAAGTCAACCGCAAAGGCAGCTGATCTTTCGAGCATTGCCGCACCAACACCGGTGAGCCCAGGAAGGGCAGGATACGGCTCTGGTCACAGCAGAGAACGGTCAAATGGTGAGGTTGAAAGACTCGGAATGGGAATGGGAAGACTTGGATTTGGACAGATTGGAGGCTCAAAACCTGCAGCTACTGCACAGAAGAAGATGGGCGGTTTTGGCTCAGTTGGGCCTATCAAGGCCACAAAAGAAGGTAAGAGATTACATTCAAAAGTCACCACCTCCTAAACCTTAAGGCTAACATTTATACAGATGATGATGAGAAATACGCTCGTCAAAAGTTCGGCAGCCAAAAAGGCATCTCGTCGGATGAGTTCTTCGGCAAAGGGTCATTTGATCCGAGCGCACAATCAGAAGCCAAAACTCGCCTACAAGGTTTCGAAGGTGCCACATCTATCTCATCCAACGCTTATTTCGGAAGACCTGAAGAAGAAGAGGGCGGAGAAGATTACGGTGATCTCGAGACCGCTGCAAAGGACTTTGTCAGAAAATTTGGTGTCACAGCCGGAGATGATTTGGATAACTTAACACAAGTCCTTGGGGAGGGTGCAAGCAAACTGCAAGGTGCCATCAGAAGCTATTTGAACGGCTGAATAAAGGTGATGGGTGATACACAGGAGTTTGGCGTTTTTATGAGCAGTATGTGAAACTGTTATGGCAAGATTGAGAAGTGAGAACTTTGAAAAACGTACTCGAAGATCGCAGAGGGCGAAAATGGCTTATTCTCGCAGCAATCGGTGAGGATAATTCATTTCTTCTCTTATGTAAAACTTTGATCCCACAATTTAGATGGCATTACTTCTGTGTAACTATTGTAGATTTCCGATACTAATTGGAATTGGACGAAGGTGTAATGATTTACCGTGTTTTGAAAGATATCTCATGTTTCTTCGTGATGGATTCCTTTTCTACGAATCTGGCCAATTTTACCCGGCAAAAAAAGTCGATTCAGTATTTTGGACTATTGAAATGTCTAACAATGGAACACCATACTCGCTAGTTCCCTTAGGTAAAACATGGAGCACAACTGGGGGAGCTGTCTGAAAAGCATGTCGAAAGTTCGGATTCAAAAGTTTTCGAAAAGTGCAGGATGCAAAACAGTTAGACGTACACAACACAGATTATCATTAGCGGCAAATCGTGTCATTTTTTGTGAGAATTGTTTGAAAATTGAACATCAATGAGTATGGAAATCCATCATCCTCCCTTCCGCTCAAACTTCCGGCATTGAAGTTTTCCAACACCCTCGTTGCCTAAACAGTATTGAGATATATTCACATTCATCGATGTAGTAACACTACGAGGGAAAATGCCAGATTTTCCTACAGTACATTCGCTAGACTTTTTCGCCATGGCTTTTTATTTCATCTCCAGTATACCATACTTTCTACCTATCCACCACCACCTCTGCTAATACTTGACACAGTCGTCTTAGTACTACTAGTGGATCGATCATCTTCTACCCGTCGCCGAAGCTGTCTCTGTTATCTTTCCTGGACCCAGTCCTCTCGTTCTAGTGCGACTCAGACCTGCTGCAATTGTACAAGTTCCGGTTCTTCTAGAAATAGTATTATTAGCTACGCCAAGGTGCCCTTCTGGTCCTCCGGATCCTCCAGTTGCAACAGTTGAGGTGGTAGGTCCTGAGGGACTCCATAGGCTTTGTCCGGGTACGTACCAGGTGCTCCCACTGATGACCTGGGGGACGGTGGGCGAATACGCGGCGATGGAGATACCGATTGTTGAATAGATGATGGTGGCTTCGATTCGTTCGATAATGGGGGTGGGGCAAGCGATGAACGTTGCATCGTCGGTGATGCTGATGTGTGGGGTATCAGTGCCGAGGGCAAAATGCGAATTGATGGTCTGGGGTGATTCAAAGGTGGGGAGTGGAGCGGGAGGAAGGAGAGAGATAGAGGTAGGAGACGGTTGATCTGAAACTGTACGAATGGTAGAGGTACTTATTGGAGAGCTGAATGAGGAGCCGGTGGCTGCGGATTCGGCGATGGTCTTTGTCAGAACCAGTGGAAAGAGCAGGGTTGATGGACACCAGATGGCTTCCTTTGCACAGCTGTAGATGGTGTAAGTACTTTTAGAATTAACAGTGATTGTTGGAAGATCATTTGAACTAGATGTGAAATCATCATGCTCCTTGCTCTCGATGGGCACAATGATGGTATGGTCGGTAGTAGCCATCGGGAATGGCGCCCCACTTGTGATAGTAGAATCGGAGGAGCGAGGTATCTTGATCGCAGCGATAGGAGATGATTCGGTCTTATCACCATATGTTTGAATGGGGCGGGTATGCGAGATGGAGCCACTGGTTGAGTTTGCAGAAATTGCCATTGAAGTTCCTGAACTTGCTCCGCTGGGTATACGTGTCGCTTCGGCCGAGACATCAGAACCATATAAACTCCCCCTCGTAATTGTAGAATTGCTCGAATTTGTCGAGTATGGTTCTGTTCTGCTTCTCGACTCTTCAGCAGAGAAGTAAGAGATTGTAGAAGTAGTCAAGGATGACGGGATAGTCGTGGAAGGAATCTTGCATGTACTCTTACTAAAAGTTGTCTCAGGTTCTGGTGTTGGAGTAATAGAATTGCTTGTTGTCGAAGATGCAAGACCATTCTGAGTTGTTGAGGTAGTACTGATAAAGCACGTTGAAGGTAACGGCGCAATGTACAGAGTTGATACCACAATAGGCCCAGCTGCCCATGTTAGAAAGTCAATTGCTTTGGCTACTTCAGCATAGACAGCAACGTCGATTATGAAATTCTCGGTAAAACTCCGTGTGCATAATTGGTTTGGCTGATAAGTAATGCAAGCCTTATATAGAGGAGCGTCAATGTATGCGCCTGCCTCAAATTTGAACCCGAAATTGAAGACTTCCACAGAGGTACCTGCCTTCAATTTGAATCTGAGAGCTACACTGAAGCATCCAGCTCCGGACTTGAATTTTGCTGGTATGGATTTCGCTTTTATCCATTTCCTGTGTTCTGTTGGTTTTGACGAGAAAGGTGTTCATGGAGGTTTGATGGAATTGGTGTTACAAACAGATTCTCCTCTACAAGCTCTCCACTGAGTGGACTTAGGATGATAAAAATATCATCTGGGAATTCTACTTCAAACTCAGCAATGACGTCCACCGGTGCAGTGACTGTAAACACTAATTCAATCTCAAATATCAACCCAATCGAGTCTTTATCATTAAGCTGAACCACATTAATATGTCAACAAGCAAGGTGTGAGCATAGATATGTGGTTATACTTACCTGTATACCAAGAAGACTTTCTGATGTGAATATAGGAACGGTGTAAGTTCCTACTATAGCGAAGGCAATATCTATCTCGAAATGTCCAGTGACTCCTTGGAACCCAAGTCTTAGGCTCAAATCAAGTGCGTCGACAATGATTTCCTTGGGGTTTGTCAGAAAATGTAGAATATCTCCTAAGATGAAATCGTCCGTTTCCACCCCGGAGGTTGTAACGATTGCATTGCCGGTGGTGAAACATTCCACACAAGTCGCCTTGATGAATCCTGTTACTTTTCCTCCCTCGCCAGGTGTGGCTTTTACTGCGCTGAGAAACTTGATATCAACAGGAGCTTGTATATTGAGACTCCATAACAGTAACTTACATCTGGAACATAACAGAATTGGGTGGTAGATGAATGGCTAGGGGGAAAGATCCGAGATCTAATGCCGACCGTCTTTCTTCCATGGAAGAGACAATTTCTAAGTTGGCGCCTCGTACCTGGTGTGCTTGAGACTTTGAGTAGTCATATCTCCCGTCATATATCTTGTGTGGTTCATTATCAGCAGGAACAGGAGAAGAAATGGCAGGAAGAGCCAAGCTGAGCACTAAACTTGAGACAATCGCCCACTTCATGATGGCAGATGTGAGTCTCAGATCTAGTTCAAACGACGAAGGATGCTTGATGCTCAATGTCAGAGTTTGGTGTAAAAACGAACGTAACTTGGAAGGACCATGTATAACGATACAAGATATATGCAAAGTTGCAGCAGGAAAAAGAAAGTATTATAAGGGTGGTTAATCAATAGTGAACCATTCCTTTCCATGCCATGTTTGAGTAGCTCGAGCATTTAAGCGAGAGTGAAGATACCCCGCATGGTAATTTCCTCTTAAAATATTGAAATTCCAAGTAAGTCTTATAGTGCTCGATTTTAACATCCGTGAATTCACTCGTGTCAATATCTGCGGGGTCGCTGCGGTTGATACTAGTGGATTATAGGCATCCCTCGAATGTGGGCTGGATATTGATTAATGAACGACCTCCCGTCAGAAATACATGGCAAGTAGATTGTGGGTATGAGTGTCGAGTTGTAGTTTGGAAAATTGAACCCCCAAGTTAAGTGGCAGATGATAGCAGTATCCTTGGATTTCTCAGAGAATGATATTGCACTGAGTTGCATCTAAAGAGCTAATTCATCTTCGCTATCTCCCTGCGGTGGTGCTAATATATCCTCGCTCCCCTGCCATTGGGGAGGCATCGGTGGCAACTCTTCATCTTCTTCCGCCCATCCATAATCCTCATCATCTTCACTATCCGGAATCTCGAACTCGGCTCTTTTACGCTTTTGAGTAGGGAGAGCAACGGCGGGTGCGGGTCTAGGTAGTAAAGGAGATCCTTGATTAGGTGTAATGGAGGAGATACCCACTTTTCCAATGACAAAAGCAGCAAATATTCCTCTTCCCTCAGATAAAGTTGTACCATCCACTTTAATGACTTGGGCAAACCGTACACCATCTACATTATTTCCTTCATCGTCGTCCCACCCCCAATCTCTGAATAAAGCCACGCGACACCCAAGGCCTTGTTCCCATGCAGTAGCTGAGATTGATGGTATCAAGGCTGCCCCGAGACCGGGTCGTATTTTGGTTACGCATTGAGTGAGGATTACTATGGCGATATTGCGGGTGGTAGCAAGTTTTTGGAGAGCATTAATGAGGTATTGGAGAAGGGGAAATTTGCGCGAGGAGGGATTGGGAACTGTTAAGGTTAGTCTAGCGATAGAAGGCAACATGAGGAGATGAGATGGATGTAGCTGGTAGGCACGTGATGATGTGAAGGTTTTAGGATTGTAACATACCTCCCGGCTTTTTAGGAGTCGACGTAGAGTCAGCATTCCGAGGAAATGCACTGTCGATTAAAGTAGAAAATGAATCAATGATGATCAGACTAGTATTTTCAGGGGGAAAGTTTTGTGTGGTGTGAGTAAGTAAGGCAAGAAGATGAGATAAAGTGGGCGTTGTGAAATGATTGAAGTTGCTTAGAAGGGTGTCGTCATTGAGAGATTCTGAAGATGGAAGTTTTTGTAGAATTCGACTGAACCTAGGACCAGATATTGGATGTGACGCGTCTGGGAGTGTTAGTAGGGTACATTGTGGGGATCTCTGGTACCAATAGTGGCATACATGGTAGCGATTATAAATAATCGAGATATTCCTGAAGTGGAAATCTAGCAAGGGAATTCGGAATGCAAGGCAATAGACAAATCGCAAATACTTATAAGAGAAATACCAAATAGATGAAAGATGACAGATGACTTACCTACCCAAACAATATTTTCATTCTGATGTAAAACTCTGGCTGCCAAATGCATGCTATATGTAATCAGCATACATGGTCATGTATACGGACACTTGAGCGTGTGTTCCATTACCCCAGAGTAGTTTTGCCAACGCCGGGTGGACCATAGATCTCCGACACTTTTCCTCTTGGAATACCTCTTGGAATTTGATCTGCACTTGTGGATACTTGCATTGGATCTTTACTTTGGAGTGCCAAATCCAAATTCGCCAAACCGGTGGGAATGCAACGTGTTGGTGATGATTCTAGATCTTGCAGAGCTTGGGCGGCGGAAACGGTAGGCATACGATCTTAGAATGTGTCAGCCTATCACTTGCGTTGTGCTGTGGCGTCAGGAATTGTGATGGAAATGAGTATTTACGTGGGGAAGACGAAGAGAAATTTGATCTTCCAGGGCCGTGTATGGATTGAGAATCCATTGCCGTTTGCTTTTGCATGGGAGTAGAATCCTATAGGATGAAGGACGATGAGACAAAGTAGTTATGGTGATAATGATTAAGGGGAAAAGAAGTTATTCGCGTCTTGAGGTTGCATTGACCTGTGGCTCAAAGATTGGATGGAAATTGGTGGAGTTACCTGGGAGGTAAGTGAACTGTGCTCATAAGATTGAAACACGTGACCAACACAATCTAAAAATCCATGCAGTTTCAATCAATTGAAAACAAAAGAACATCCACAGCAGTACTTATCTGCACTGACGATCCACCACCACATACTGGTACTAGGTATTATCTTGACTTCATAAATTCACATCTTTCTTCCCTGTCACATGCACATCTATATTTGATTCCATTTACGAGATACACTCACACCCGTGGACCTCTCTGCTAGAGATTCTTTGCCATTGCCATGATTCACTTCATTCTTTCCAGCGACACGTTATCCAAGGAGTGAGATCAATCTCTTCCTTTACAAATAAGGATGATTTAAGGTAGGTAGGTAGGATTAATTTACCATTCACCTAGGTCTCTAGGTCGTATCATTCAAAATCCTACCTTCCTTCCTTCATCACCAATTCCTTCGGGGAGGGTGGGTAAGCATCGCATCGTATTCGAGCACATATCAAATGATCCCTAGTACGTATTCCAAGGTAAATAAGGAGGACGCGATGACCTATTATTCAACCCATCCTGCCAATCTGTTCTGACTTCTCTTCATTTTCTCGTCCTTTCCCTTCCTCTTCCTCTTCTTTCCTTTTCCCGAGGTCCTCACATCCTCCTCCAAATTTGATTTGATTTGATTTGATTTGATTTGATTTGTTTCGTTTCGTTTCGTTTCGTTTCGTTTCGTGCCATTCAATTCAGCTGATCTTCACTCATTCGAACTCTGACTAATAAACTTCCAACCAATATCATCGTCATATCCAACATTCACTTCCAACACCATTCACCGATCGCTGTTCGCTTCGTATCAGATCGTCTTAGTTTCAAAACATTTCCCACTTTTGATTGGTTCACCACTTACCCTCAATTCACACCAACAATTACCCTAGCTACCTAGCCTTTCGAAACAGCCGCCCCCCATATTCTTCACAAGACTCAATTGGGAAAGATCGGACGAACCCCTCGATGATGCTTTATTATTATATTTTCCACTCGAATAATTCTTCATAAACTTAAACTTGAAACTTTCTTTCCAATTTCCACACACACGATCGTTTTTGATATCCTCTTCAACAAATACATTCACTCCCCCATATTTTGTCCTTCTTTTGGCTTTGGATGATTCATTCTTTGGCATCAATCCCATCATATCTTGGAAACTAGCAACAGTTTCTGCCAGACGATTTATTCAGTACCCGTACTTAGCTACCGTACTTACCAAGTCGGAACACTTTTTTTTCTTGATCTTTCGACAGCTTGATCTCAATCTTCATTTCTCTCTCTCTCTCTTTTTACTTCATAATCAACAATATGTTTCCCAAAACTTTTTCAAGGAGCCTTCTCCTGGCATTTTCCGTTTCTCAATCCGTATCTGGTCTCAAACTCGATACCTCTGATCCAAGTACGTTTTCTTTTTCATCTTTGACTCTATAATACTTACAGCCCCTACTGACAATCATGTGTGCAGCTTCAATCAAAAATGTAGCAGGTACCATTGCATATGGCCTCATGAAATATTATACCGGCAATGTCACCAACACACCAGATACCATTGCGGTACTGCCAGCTCCGTACTACTGGTGGGAAGCTGGTGCCATGTGGGGAACCATGATCGATTACTATCACTATACTGGGGATGCTACCTACAATGATATTACCACACAAGCTTTGGCTTCTCAAGCTGGCCCGCTTTTCGATTACATGATGCCGAACCACCAAAAGGATGAAGGAAATGACGACCAAGCCTTTTGGGGAATGTCTACCATGTCTGCTGCAGAAAAGAATTTCCCGGAGCCCTCCAACACGGGGGGATTTACGTGGGTAGAATTGACCGAGAATTTGTGGAATACCCAAGCTGCCCGCTGGGATACGTCGGCTTGTGGTGGTGGATTGAAATGGCAGATTTTCTCATTCAATAATGGATATACATACAAAAACTCGGTTTCTAATGGAGCCTTCTTTCAACTTTCAGCACGTCTTGCACGCTATACCGGAAATCAAACATACGTCGATTGGGCAGAAAAGGTTTATGATTGGACGACCAAGATTGGATTTATCGATTCAAATTTCAACACTTTCGACGGTGCCGATGAATCTAAAGCTTGCACCAATCCGAATAAAATTACCTGGAGTTACAACAATGCCCTTTTCCTGTACGGAGCCGCTGTCATGTACAACTACACCACCAGTTCCACTTGGCAAACACGAACCGAGGGTTTATTAAAAGCCTCTTCCAATTTCTTCACATCTGATAGTGTCATGTACGAACAAGCATGCGAAGAAGTAGCAACTTGCAACAATGATCAATTTTCCTTCAAGGCGTATCTCGCACGGTTCATGTGGGCAACCACTCAAATGGCACCTTTTACAACAGCCACTATCACGTCATATCTCACCAAATCCGCATCTGCAGCAGCTAGTATTTGCGTTGGTGATGCTAATGCTTGTGGTACAAAATGGTATACGGGATCTAATGATGCAATATCCGGCCCTGGACAACAGATGAGTGCTCTGGAAGTCATTCAAGGATTACTCGTCTCTTCCGCCGCGCCACCAGTCGTCAAAGGCCAAGCATCTGTTCAATCAACTTCTTCTTCTTCACCAGCCTCTTCGGCTTCTTCGGCTTTTTCATCCGCTGTCATTAGCACTAGCAGCAAATCCAGTGTTTCAAGACAAAGTAGTGTGAAGGCGACCACTAGCGCTACCAGCGCCGCAACCACTGATTCATCCACCAACGTAGTCGTGACCGATACCATCCTGGAAAGTACCACAGTTCCATGCTCGACTAGTTCTTCTTCTACGGTATATTCTTCCCCCGAAGTTCCCTCTTTCACCGCACAGCCTTCTACACTTACTTCGCGAGAAGTAGAATCTTCCACTGCAGTCCCTTCATCTACTTTGAAATCATCTCCTACTGTCTCTTCTTCTAAATCAAAAACTTCGATTTTTGCTGTTACAACTCCCGCGCCTGATCTCGATACCACAACTACAGTCAGTATTCTCCACAGCACCACTGTATCTTGCAACACATCAGTATATGCAAACTCTACTGCTTGGTTTGCATCATCCTCATTTTTGTCCAGTCGTCTTACAATTGCTTCATCGGCCCCTGTTATTGTTACATCTGCTCTGCCTGCGTCTTCTAAATCTTCGACTGCCTTACTGATTGATACTACTACACAGCGAGCGCCTGCAATTTCGGGAACTGGTTCAAGAGGAACTATGAGCTTATTAACAACAGCTTCAGCCTCGGCGACTAAGGCTACAGTCACGGCGGCTGCTGGAAGAAATATGGACGTTTCGGAATCGGGTTTACTGGCCGGTGTGCTTGGCTTGGGGCTGCTATGGGCTCTTTAGGAGTAACTTAAAGGGCCGGGGTGTTGACACGGTATGTAATATAGGATTGGGGAATTGGGTGTACAAAGGGTATATGATTGGGTTGGAGCGGGAGTTGTCAAAAGCTGTTTGTACTTTTTTGATTGACAGGCTTCTCTACTACCAGATTGTCTAGTTGAGCTTGAGGCATTGATTTGGGGGAGTTTTTGGTCAAAACGATACTGTTGTTTCTTTTGTGGCGGATACATACATGGATGAATAGATTGGAGAAGATAATGATGATTATAATCTGAGGTAGACTGAAAAAGCTTCTGAGAAGATTTGTACAAAAGACACCCTAGATCAATAGATATCAAAGATAGAGAGGAAATAATTTCATTTCAAACTATTTATGATCTATAATGTGTGGCATATATTGAAATTTTTGCTTTCAATCTCGACCAGTATCCTTCGAACCTCCACCCACGAATGGGAATCTACTCTATAGTTTAACACTCATCACACTGAGATCAAATCTTTACATATTAATCATAAGCGAGCTGACAATCATTCCGAGGACTCCTCGGTTATTAAGATACTCGGACCGTAGACCTCTATGAATATTCGGATGAGTACTAAACTAAACCCTCGATAAATATTTTGGAAGAGAATCTTACTTTGGAAATTTGAAGGTCCATGTTGTGCATGGGATTTACGATGGAAAAGTAGTTTTGGAAGCGGTTCATTAGAAACTTTAGACTCTGAATTCTATAATTATATTACAGAATATCTATTGTTTCATTACAATAATCTATACATTGATCTGTTATAAGCCTTGTCGCACTCTGTGGAAAAAGCGATTATTTGAATTAGAACGGTTATCAATTATAATTTTCTAGCGAGTCTTTGTGCTTGGGAATGGGAATGTGGATAGACACAAAGAGTAAACGCAACGCAACCCCTTGTGATTCTCCCTCTCTCCTCAAGGTACATCTCTGTATTAGAGAGCTTGTTGGTTAATGTGAATATGAATATAAATATGGAATTTGAGCTATGTTATTGTTGGACTTGGTAGAGTAGGTCGTTACTACATTAAACCAAATATTTCCGTTCAAATCTCGGCACCATGATTGCCTCGCCGGATTTGAAACCTTTTTTTTTTTTTTTCAGCGAGAAAGGCGTTGGATATCTATATTTCTAATTACCCTTGAAAGAAATTAATTATTTAGATAATTTCTTGGGGGTTTGTTAGTTTTTGATATTATCTTGATAGATGTCGTGTCAGCGGATACTGTGTCTGCTCTCTTTTCTCTTATAACATACCATACCATCCGAAGTGCTTTGAGAAATATCGATATCTTGAAGACTATGAAACATACAAATATAGACTCAGACTTCTGGTGCTTTTCGTCGGTAGAAGACGTGATGCAATGATATCGGAAGAGATCATATATGTCCCAGCGACTCAACCCATTTACTCCGAGATCAGCAGAGGACCACTTCAGCTCTGCTTGGGAACGATGAGAACTGCGAATGAATGGATATCTTGGGCACCATTCGGAATATCTCGACGTCGATTTCGGAATGGAATGTTGCAAGTTTGTGTATGTCGTTCAATGCATTTCGCAAATGAGAAATGCCATCTTGGATGAATGAATGATCCGATGTGTTTCAAAGTCTGGGTTAAAGCTTAAGAATTCGGGAGGCTATGCGTGTAGTGTAGCACATGACTTTTCCTGAAGTGTAAAGGAAGGTCTTGGGAAGTAATCTGAAATGTTTCGATGTTTTTGTTGGATTTGGTGCTGTTTTCTTTCCTTCTTTGGCTATGAAAGACTGCTTCACCCTGTCAATCTTAGCTAATGTACTATTGGGTATATCTGATTGAAACCATGCGGAGGTAAAAGATGTGAGATTATGTAGATTCATGTTTGAGGTAATAGTGGGCTAACTGAAACCCTGTGGTAGCAAAATCTGTAATCAACAAAGTGATTGCTTTGTTAATTATAATAGCATATTTAGACTTTGGTTTTTTTATTGAAGAAAGCCTTTTTCAGGTATGAATTAGATTAATTTAAATTTTTGTATTTATTTTAATTAATAGGGTTTTAATGAACTTCTTAAATTTTAAAAGCTAAGTTTTGGTTTGAAGTCATTATTATGATGTAAAAAAAATCTATTTGTATAGAAGTCGATTATTCATTAGGAAAAATAAAATGTCAATATATATATTAGGATTATTTAATATTATTATCTATATAATATATTCTGTATTATATAGTATCTCCTAGACCGCCAACTGGCGGCGTCGTCGCTTAATATGCACTGTTACAGGTATATATATAGTAGTAAGCTATCAGGAACCGATCCCTGATACTGTGCCTTTTGGGACAGATTGCGTGCGTGGCATAGTAGTAAAGCTTACAACTTCTATTGGTTTCAATCATGTAATAAAAACTAGTAAAATAATAAAAAACTTTAGAATTAAATATTTAGATATAATTATTAAGAGCTTGAATATATATCACACTAGCAAAATAAAAGGAAATAATATATTCTGATTCTATTATTACTAAACGAATAATAATTATATATATAAAGTTATTTTTAATAGTTTTATTATTTGATTTCAATATTTTCTTAGCTTTAATATATACAAAATAATTCTTTTGCTAATATTCTTTTTTCTTATAGAATTTATAAAATCGAAAATCGATTTTGTTAATTTTATTAGATTTTAGCAAAATTATAGAGTTTTTTATATATCCATAATATCCCCCTCGATTTTTTTCTTTTTTTTCTCAAATATTTTGAAATCCTTGTTTATATATAGAATCTTATATAATATTAATTGATATAACATTTATATCAATTTGAGGAACTCATTTAGCTCTTTATAAAATATATAATATATCCTATAGTCTCATTTTCATAATAATAATCAAGTTTTGTTATATCTATTAAATATCGATTTCAGAAAGAGAATTTAGAAATTAATTATAAATATCTTTATTAGAAATCAAACTATTTGAAATAAAGGTTTTATATTAATAATAAAGAAAATAATCAAAAAAGATTTAAATAGATTCTATTTTGAAATCGAATTGTTTATATAAAAAGTACTTTCTAATATTCTTAATATACTAAGGATTTAATAAGTTATTAAAATCTGAAATTTTCACCCACATACTTATAAAATCACTAATTCTAATAAAAAATATAATTTGGGAATAATAAATAAAAGGTAAGTAAAAGTTTATAATAAAGATTACAATTCCTTTTTATTTCTTTTAGTTAGTAATATCAAAGTGATTTCTAATTAATACTGCTTTATTGCTATATATATATATTAAGACTAATAGATACTATTATTATAGTTTTAAAAGATTCATAAAATTCAATTTAATTATTGCTTATGAATGTAACAAGAATTTCTTATTTGATTTAAATCAAATTGATTATATACTTATTAGATATAATAAAAGCAATAAGAAAATAAATATATAAATTCTAAGATAAGATAAAAGTAATGTTGATGATAATATAAGGTTTATAATCTATTGAAAATAGATAGTAAGTTATATATGATATATAAAAATTGTATTATTTATTATATATATCTAGAAAGTGGGATCTATATGTAAAACATTTTTATGGGTATGGTGTATATGCCATATCACGTGTTTTCCAACAAAAATAACTACTGAAATTCTTAACGTAGTTTATCAGTATATAAGTTATATCATTATATAAACCACCCCTTTTTGAATATAAAATTCGTCTGTACTTAATCGTATACTTTTTTTATTTCATAATATAATTTTATAAAAATTGAAAAATTGAAAAATTAATTATATAAATATTATAAAATTTGAAACATTTATTGGAAAATGGAATTATTATAATAGTTATTATAGAGATAATATTTTTGTAACGAAAATCATAACAATTTCCATTTTCTTTATAAAATAATAGGAATTTTTATATAAATATTAGATTTATAAAAAGCTTATTTATTAATTTTTTTTTTCTCAAAATAATAATCAATTATTGTTGGAACACGTGACTGAGAACATGTCGCGTTCTATCCCACATACGCACTTCGATATAGCTTAGCAATGTTCTCTTCGTACGAGGAAGGGAGACATGAATTATAATACTATTGAACCTAATACACCCCCTTACTAGGTCAACTCAACAATTATTAAAATAAGAATATTGAAAAAGGTTTAATTTTGGTGTATTTTCAAGTGGCTCACATGCTGATATAGCTCATATGTCGATAAATTATGTTATATGTTTTAATTTAGTTTTCTATAATTTAATGGATTAATGAACTAGAAAGTTTTCATGATATAAAATAAGAATTAATCAATTATCGAATATCTGAAATCATATGATTCTGAGAATTATATCATAAAATAAATTTGATTTTTGACTTATGTTTTAGTAATTATTCAAGATTATAGAATAATTAAGATTAGAATCAGACGTAGCTTTAATATTTGATAAACGAGCTATTCTCTAATTATTTTATAGAAAAGATTCTATGTAATTGAATAAATATATTCTGATATTTATATATTACATCAAATATGTCTATTAAATTAATATGAGAAGAAAGCTTAGAATAGAGTATAATAGATTAATTCTTATATCTGTAATTATATTTATGAGTATTCTAGAATTCTAAGCTTTGATTTTTAACGTGTAGTATATTACTACTACCTTCGTATCTAATTCAATGTCTTATTGATAGGCAAATCAATATATATTACTGAATAATGAATACTAAAACTCATCGATCTTAAGATCTATTAATAGTGGTGAAACTTAGATGACAGAGTCTATCAGAATAACAATCATAAATAACCGAGGATATAAATAAACAAGTAAATTTAACGCTGAGAGGGTTATTAGTTTGATAGAAGGAGCAATAGCCGAACTTAGTGAACATTTGACAACCATCGAAGCCGTATCCAATGCCTACGATAGACTATTATAGTGAAAAATTTCTTCCCGAGACTGATTGATCATCAGCAATAGGTCGCAAGCATGATGCATCAAAGAATCTAATCATTATATTGACCGTCAATAGAATACTCTCATCTTCAGTTTTTCCGACTTACAGTTTTATTTCATCCATGAAGCCGGCACAAACCTGAAGATTTACACAATGCAGCATTTGAGACATTATTCTTAGTAAAATTCAGGGAATCCAAGTATCAAGAGCAAAAAAGCAAATTCTCATTCATAGCAATAGCTCATCATCAAACCCCAGTATTAATCCCAGCCCAAATCCCAGTCCGAACCCAGTCCATCGTTCTCGTCATGTTAATATTCATTTCAACCTAAGCAACTAACCACCCAGATCTCTCTGACTAAGCAACCATAAAATAACCACCTCCATCCAGCATTTCATTGTCCCCCTTGAGCCTCAACAATCAAATCTCGATCGCCTGACCAACCAATCACCATAAGTAATCACCCCCGTCCAGTATATCAAAGTCCCATTCGGACCTCGACAATCATATCTCGATTCATTCACTTCAATAACGCCTCCGCAACACTGGGGTGAAGCTCTTCCAAGCGAGTCCAAATCTGTCCATAATGTTCTTGGAAAACAGCTGGATCTCTTGCCATCATAACGAAAATGGTACACATAGCTCCCTTGAGTGGAGAAAACGCAGCTCTCGCAATTTGCGATCCGCCAAAGAAAGCGAAAGCTACCAGAACTTCGGCTATTAGAACATCTTTGGTTTCCTCAACAGGGTTGGGCTTAAGGGTGATTAAGAAAAACGTTGAAAGAGCGCTGATTACACCAATCACGACGGGGAAGTATGAGATCATTTGGAACAATCCCGAGTCCTTGAGCATTTCCAAACCAGCTGCTGACATTAAGGTAACACCGGATTTATTAGCTTTCCAGTATGTAGTGGAATCAAGGGCCATCATAGAAAAGGTCCAGTCCGAGTGTTTGGAATCAAGAGCGGCGTGGAAGGGTGCAAGATACACCAAAAGAGTTAATAAGAGGGCTCCAGTTATAGAACGAAAATTTGAATCTGGCGTGAGCGAAAGATTTTGCCCTGAAGCCATTCCCAGATCTTTCAAAAAAACCGAGAAGGATAAGAGTCCCGCACCAAAGCATACGCTGCTGTAAGTCAAGCGAAGTGTCGTCTGAACTGCCGTTCTTCGAATGTTTGAATGTCTGGAGTCGCTCTGAACATTCATAAGTACGTGATTCTTCGTAAAAAGGGCCCCGAAAAAATGTGCAAAGGACGATATAACATGCGTGATCCAATATGTCGTGGCAGAGAGTAATATGATAGCTGCTATGAATCGCGGGGTATAAAAATTCCGATCTTTGGTACATGATGGAGCAGTGACGTCCCAAATTCTTCTCAAATTGTAAAGGACAAGGAGGTAACCGGCATATAAAAGAGTTGTTAGAAGGCTGGCAATGAAGCTAAGCGCGATCAGCGTCCACGGTCGAATTTGGCACACGGCGCACGTTACAACTCTCGAAAAATATCTAGAATCATACCAGACAATCTGCCAGACAATGCAAACAGCGGTGCCAAAAATAACAATTATCAAGGCCGGAAGTTGTCGGAAAACGATAAGTACGATCGATCCCGCAAAAGCTAAAAGACCGAGAGCGCCGGAGATCCATTGGCTTAGACTGGTATGTCGGAGCAGGAACAGAGCGGCGAGAAAGAAGTAGGCAAAGAGGATCGAGATGCCAAAGGCCGGTGCCCTAGTCGAGGTAGGTCAGCGTCCATGATAGAAAAGGAAGAGAAGTTGAGGGTAGGGGAAGAGGTTTATATAGAAAAATAGTATGGTCCGTGCGAGCCCGATTCAAGTCTGAGCAAAAAAAACAAACTGCCCTCATGGTGGGTCCAGCACATATGTAGGCTGACAGGAATAAGAAGGTATGATGAAGAAAGGAGCGGCAGTGACAGATATATTATCTTCAGCACTTTGGTGACATCTGGGGCTGTGAATGTCTGGAAACCTCTGGATATTTGTGATTCTGTGAATGTCCCAAATACTTTGAGCTCATAAGAGACTTTGAAAGTCTGACATGACAGGCTTTGAATGGCTCTATACCTTTGAGAACATAAGGGAATTTGAATGCATGGGCCTTGTGAATGTATGACAGCACTTGATTGATCAACAGAAACTGGTTGTTGACAATAGCCTGATAGTCTGACGTAGTATGAATAGAGACAAGGTGGTAGAATGAATAAATGAAACCACAACAAGGAATGAGAGCAACAACAAGACTTTGGCAACGTGAGAGTCAGTGATAGAATGGAACAATAGTGATAGCACCGTATGAGATGGATAAAATAGCAAAAAGCAGCAGCAAAGTGTGGAGATGATAACATGCAACGACAGCAACAGAAGGGTGATATTATAGAGAATTAATCGAAGTGACAATATAGGGAGGAACTCGTGCACCAATAGTGGTTTAGTGACAGAAGTGTGCTGATAAGAAAACAAGAGAAAGACAAATGAAAGGTGGATAACGGATGGGCAATGATCAAGAATCAAACTGAAAAATCAAAGAAGCTAAGAGAAGGGGAATTTACACCCAGGTCAACTCCCGAAGGAGAAGACCCGAGGGCTTCCGAGCCCCGACAATCGTCACCCCACCAACCCCACAGTCCAGCTCTTCCCAGTTGTTTAAAAGGTAGTTGTTAAACACCACCTCCATCCGGCCCGACAAAACGACCAGAATAAGCCCGAGGGCAAACAAAGAGGCCGAAGCCAAAAGAAAAGTGATGAATGCCCAGGGGACACCACCCCCTGGTACTTGCAAAGAAATGGTGGAAGAAACGGGACCACCAGAATAAGCCCCCGAGGGGGAACGAGAAGAGGGGGGGTACCCGGAGGCGCGACGCTTATTCTTGGCCATGTGGCCGAAGAAAAAACAAATTGAGGGGGGGGGGAAGGGGAGAGGAGAGGAGGTGGGAGGAGAGGTAGCGGCGGCGGTGGCAGGTTGTTGTTATCGTTGTTGTTTTGTTGTAGCTGGTGCTGGTGCTGGTGCTGGTGCTGTTATTGTTGTCCTGTGGCCGATTCTTTCAAAGAAGGGTGTGGGAATGAAAGGGGGTTATATATCCAGACTGACTCACTGGCTTCACCTTGATGGGTACTTTCCTCAATTGAAAACGGAAGGAACAAACACTGTGAACATGGTGAAAATGTTGGCTCGTTCACCGATCCTTACGCTACTAGGGCCGACGAGAAATGAAAATGGTTCGATCTCATCGACTACTTGACAATGATCATGTTCTATTACCTATCTATTAAATCACATCTTCTCGCAATTGTCATTTGACCATGTTATTTTAGGAGGTGGTTACCTAGACATGTAGGAAAATGAAGATTCTCACATCCTCAACATCTCAACAAATACCAATTAACTTGAAATAGAAATGATAACCATTGGAAAAGGAAATATCATTTCGCATTGAATCTGGAAAGATGAAATTATTGGGCAAGCACATACTTACGTTCCTTTCTTGAGATACTATCAACTTTGTCAGGGTTGTGCTCCAATCCTATCCTGATCAGGTGATCTGATACGATTTGGTTTGAAGGGATGCAAATAAGAATAGATACAGCAGGTTCCATTGTCATTGTCAGCGTCGTTATCATTGATGTTTCCACTGCCGTTGTCGATTGATGGCCGTCAGCTCATGACCAATGTAAGCATAATGGTCATGGAAGACACCGATCTATCAAGACCCTTACAGATTGGGAATGCTCTGGTTAAGACTAACTCAGCGAACGTAATATTCGACACATTACAGGTAGAATTATCACAATATCCATAGAATTAAACAGTAACGTGACTATGTCAAGTGGATTGTAAGTCTTAATTTAACCATCCCACTGGGTATGTAGCTATTTGTTGTGTGAAGTCAGCGTTATAGGAAAACAAACAAAACAGCATATCATTTAAAAACTAAACATTTGTCATCTCACTCCGCCATCGAGATATTGAAAATACTGATCGAGAAATTTGAAAGATTACTAGATTGATCACTTGATTCGATAATTTGATATAAAAAGAAAAAAAAAGAAAATCAAAATAGTAAGACTAATAGACTAACACTACATGACTAGCCATATCAATTAAGCCGCATACAAACCTCAATTTCATTAATAGATCTCCAGGTGTAAAGGGATTCAACTTTGAAATTAGAATTGAAACTTTACATCCAAAACACATCTAATTCAATTGATTGAATTGAAGTCATTTAGCTTAAAATTTAGAAAGTGAAATGGACTTAGCTTTTAATCCATTCAACCTACAGATTCGAACCCTTAAATCAGATGTGAAATATAAATTCGAATGTAATAATTTAATTGGATACAGTATGGATGTACTAAGGGTGCTCTAACCCCCCATCACTTCTAAGGTATCCTAACCTTATCCGCTTACTGTACTTTCAGAAGCAAAGATGCAGCCCATTGATTCAAATGCACATCATTTGTATTTAGAAATAAGGGAAATACGGAAGCAAGCATGAGTCTTCTTCACAAAGGGACTTGGTATGAGGATTTATCCTATAAATGAGGATACATCCGCGACCGAGAGTCTCCAAACACACCCTCATATTTTCTGTACCCTCTTCGTTTCACTGCCCATGCACCGCAAAATAGGCATCTTCTTGGAGCCCTGGGAGGCAACAAAAGTGGAATTGAAGGTCAATGTAACCTGGACAGAATCGTTGATAGCATGACCGTTGAGCGCAACATTGGATGTATCATCGGGTTGTGTATTAGCGTACCATAAAGGTCTTCCCCACGGTGCGGCCCCGGTTGTTCCGATTTGTGCTTGGAGCCAAGCAGCATTTCTCTACAAAGCGAGGACCTTTTAATATCATAATTCAATGCTATGATGGTGAACATATAGTACTTACGCCTTGATTAAAATGTGTTCCGACCCATGCAGTGCTCCAGGTACCAGTAGTTGTGACTATGCTCGAGCTAGAATCGAGGATAATGTATCCTAGATCCGATCCGAGTCCACCTTGACCGTTACCTTCAAAGCTAGCACAGGCGTCTTTCACAGTCCATAGACCTTGGCCATTAAGGCAACCGGTGGAAGCGCCATGGCCATTCAAGGTAACTAGAATCGTTCCAGGACCACCTGGAGGAAAGACAGAAAGATCCGAAAGTTGAGCCATGCTTGCTGGAAGGAGAGAGAGCCCAAGGGCTGCTATTTTTGGCTTGCTGGAAAGCATATTGGATGTTAGACGAAGGTGCTGTAAAGAGATGCGATGGGAACGTGTTCTGATAAACTCTATTGCAGTCTCTGAAAAAAAGCGTGTGCGACTCATTGGTCTTTATAGATTTCTGTGAGGGCTATCTCATTGAAGGCGGTATAACGAGTATGAGTTCTATGCCGCGAGAGTCGACCAGAAAGAACTTACGAGCATGCATCTCGTTTGGCAACCAAATGATTACCAGAAGCAGTACTAAATTACTCAGCATTTACCAGGCAAAGATCTCTTGCATTTGAAAATCAGCTGATTACTCTCATGTGCATGCACCGTTTGTAGTCAGCGGCGCAGAACTTGCTCGTTTCCGGCACCCGAGCTCGGAACACTTCTGAAGCCACATATAACGTGTATGCAGCTGTATACCAAGCGACTTATTCGAACTCTCCTGATTCATTATCCCTGCATGAATGAGTCCACACGCAGCCGCCCCGATCCAATAACTTCTGCAGAGCTAAAGGGAAGGCAATGAATGAAATTTGCTACAAATCAGGCTCGTATAAATGCAACCAAATAAGGTAATGCGGAGCACTGCCATTGCAGACAACGTTGGCTGACTCGGATGAAGAAGAATTTGACACTTCCCAGCCTTAAGATCCCGGATTTCGGATTCTAGTCCGAAGGTGTCGTGACCACAAGTAATTTCGTGCTTGTACTCAAATTGCTACCAGGCAAGGATTCTTGGATCTGATAAGTCATCGACCAAATAAAGGGAGAGATTCTGTATCTTATTGGTTGATGATGTGAAAGCGTGATTGAAGAAGGTCAAGACGAAGTTTCTGCGATGTGACAGAAGCCGGAATGAAGTAGCAGTGTTTAGCGCTTGGTCTGTGCTCACATTCAACCTCGCATCGTTATTCCTAACAATTCACCAATTATCATACAAATACATCGTGCTAACACACAACGCAAGCCTCTTCTAAAGGGCAAAAGGGCGGATTTATTCAATCTTTGGAATTTTTGAAACTACTGACCAAGCAAAATTTGTCCCAAAAAGTGCTAAGAACTTTCAAGTGAAAAGGGGGGCTCACACCTCCCTCCCCCTAGAAGCATTCTTAATGCTTTTCAAAAGACGTCTGCTTGTACTTCGGAAGAGGCAAAGTAAGCAGAAATATTCGACGCAAAATGGGGAAGGAAACCTGCTAGCCGTATATCAGATAAATAAGACAGGTTGTTTTACTCCATTCAACTCACGACATACTGGATGCTGAGTGATCTCCACCGCATCCCCTTCTCTAATTTGTCCCATGTCCGTCCCAAGATACCCTGGAATTGACAGTCATAACTTCCTTTTTGATTCCATGTTTTGCAATGCAAGATCAAGATCCCCTTACTATTCTCGTATATCAATAGAATCACGGATGTTAGACGGTAGATTACGTCTGGACACTGAGATACAGCCGGCGAGTTTCTAGAGAGCAATCACCCCTTTCGGCAGTTTTTTAAGCAATTGATCAACAGCAGACATCCAGATCTCTCATCTGTATGCACTTTTCTAGCCTTGACTGAGACTTGGCTTCTGAGGTGAATCAACTGTAAAGGTCCGTTCAAGTCTGTCGTGGATGTCTAAGAGCTAGGTGATAAATCTATGAAAGTGATAAGATGTCTCAATGTCAATTTCCTCAGCTTGAGAACTACCAAGGGAAGGCTGAATGCGAATTATATCTGATCTTTTGTAACGTTGTTTGAAAAACAAACTCTTTGCCGATAGAGTCTGCGTGGAGACTACTTGAATTCATCAACTGTCTAGATCAATCATACGGCGTTATCTGACTCTTGTCTGGAGATCTCGAGGGCGGTTACACTTGGGAGTTCTCCGCAGGTAGCCGCGATCATTCTACGTTTTTGCCGTCGTCACCATGTAACGACTTCTCATTTCTGTTGTTGAGTCAATATTTTTGTATCGAGGTCTCAGTTAGGAGTCATAGATCTGACTCGAGTCTGATTCATCCCTGTGTGTGATGAAACTACACAGAAAGTTGAAATTTGTCCTATCTCACTCACAGTGTTCCTTGCAGTCGGACAGTGTTTCATTTATTCATACGATCAAATCTTTCCAGTATATTGATGGTTGGGAAAAGGACAGGACAGAAAATGAGAAAGGAAGTTATGAGGGAATAGTTTCCTAGTTTGAAGAGCTGTGCAATTTAATCCGAGGGTGAGTTCCCCTGGCTCACGGAAGACTTGCGAACGTTCCTTCTTAGATATTTAAAATCAAAACTGATCTCAATTCATAATGTCACTGTTTTGAAAGTAATTCGCTTCTGGATAGAGTAATTTGGCACAGTATTCAAGTGCGATTATATGTCAATCATTCTTCTTCGACCCAAATCAACACAACCACTAGGATCATTACAAGTTGTTGAATTTCAGGATTCTCTACCTTTGGCAAAACCATGGAAGAGGTAAAATAGAAAAGCATGAAAGTCCAAAAGGGCCTGACATGTATAAATTCAATTCGCAATTTACATGTCGGTCAAAGGGAAAACTTGCTCGAATCAGACATTCATGAGAGTAGTATAAGGCAATCTTAAAACAAATGATACTAAAGTCTTCCTTATTATAATAGATACTACTGACATCTGAATTTTCTATCTGGAAAAACAGAAGAACAATTTCATCTACCCTACTTGCAGCACTTTCTCCCTGCACATCACATGTGAATTATGCCAGAGATACCGGAGTTGTAGTAAGAAGGTGGACTTCAATTGCTTACAAAGTAGCCCTCATAAGAATAAAACAACTTACATCTGAGTATAGCCTGGTCTGAGGTCATCACATCCTTTAGGAAGTATTGCGAATATATGAAGATTTTCAGAGATTTGAAGTACATGTGGGAGTTTACTCGTGTGCTACCCAACGGAATGTGAAGCTTGAGAGTATCTGGAACTTTTGTTGATATAAGGATACCAACGCGGAAGAACAGAATGAAATACAAAAATCCGAATTACCACTCCTAAGCTAAAAGAAGTCTCCGATGAGAAAATCTCAAAGTTGAAGAGATACATTGTTGATTGCTCAAAATACAATCGCGGCATGCATCACGTGAAGCTTGCGTGATGCTATCTAGTACCTAGGTATCCTTACCGTCTCGAGAGAAATCTCAGTCTGTCCGTTCCCCTTGATTGACACTTTGCCCACAAATGTGAAACAAGATTCAAGCACATCGTACGACTACACTTCCAATCGTGAATTTCGTCACGCTAATTCACGTCATGAGAGTGACCGTTACCCACACCTTCACATTTCACCGGAGATATCGGGGATTGAATACGTGAGTCAACCCGAGCAAAATGCTCTCCTCGTTAAGAAAGTGTGAAAATATGAGCCAGTGAGGGAAGAGTGCTAGATTTAAACACTTTATTGGAAACTTCGTGACAATTTGATCCGTATGAGGGATCAATCAAAAGTATTCAAGACCTTGAATCGATATGTATGATATTTTCTCCTCCGCGACAGCAATACATTGCTTATAAATGAATCGAAGAATCGAACTATAGATTGATATCAACTAGACAGTATGTAAGTAGATGAATTGATCTATGTGTGATGTACCACGAAGCTGAACCTCAATTCGCATCCATAACCCAATCCCTCTCGCCGAAACAATTTTTATATTGTCAAAACCAATGGAAACTTTGAGAATCGAGGCAAAGATAAAACTATGCTTTGATTGTTAAATCCGCACCGAGACATGAGAGACATTGCGACATGCGATCCAGGTCACTGTCAATATCACCGTCACACGTCGTTTGTACCTCCCCTTTTCAACGTCACGCCCGAGGATTTCCTCTTAACTCCGAGATTCACTACTCATTTACAATCGACTTCAAAATCCTCTGTTTTAAACTCTCTGTTAATACAATCTTTTCCTTCTATCATCTTCTCCTCTCCTGTCATCTTCTCTCCTGTGAAAAACTCTCTATACTCTATATATCCCACTCACCACGACATAAATTCTACCTTCCAGAAAACGATGCCTATACTCGCAGGAAAAGAGATATCTCACAATGGCCTAGGTCTCATGCGTAAGTCCCACTCCCAACTTGTCAATGCATCCAAAACGCCATTGGCAAGTCGAAGACCTTTTACTGATCTCCTGCAGGAATGACCTGGCGCGGCGAGCAGACTCCCGACAGTATTTCCTTTCCCGTCCTGAAAGCTGCTCTTGCAGCCGGAGTAAATGTGTGGAATGGCGCCGATTTTTACGGTTCTTCGGAGAACAACTCCCTACATCTTCTCGCACGCTACTTCGAAGCGTATCCTGAAGATGCAGAGAAAGTGGTTCTCTGTATCAAGAGTGGCTTTGCGGATAGGAAGAAATTTACAATGGATTGTTCGCCAGAAGCTGTGTACAAATATGTTGAGAATGCCAATAAGATTTTAGGTGGTTATAAACAGATTGATCTTTTCGGCATGGCTAGACAAGATAAGGTTACACCAATTGAGGATACTGTCAGGGCTTTGGATGAGTGCGTCAAGAAGGGTTTGATCGGTGGAATTCAATTGAGTGAAGTCTCAGCCGATTCCATTCGTCGAGCTAGCGCAGTAGCAAAGATCGACATGCTCGAGGCGGAGATAAGCTTGTGGGCTACGGATGTCTTCGAGAACGGCGTCGCAGAAGCTTGTGGAGAATTGGTAATCGTGATGGTTGCTCATACACCACTTGGAGCCGGCATGCTGACAGGTCAGTTCAAGAGTTTGGATGATTTGCCCGAGAGCGACCCTCATCGCCACTTTCCCCGTTTCCAGCCGGAAAACTTTCACAAGAATTTAGAACTGGTGGAAGAGTTAAGAAAGTTGGCGTTGGATAAGGGCTGTACACCTGCACAGTTGGCGTTGTGTTGGATCAAGTCGCAGAGCAAGAAGCCAGCCTATCCTCTCATTGTTCCAGTATTTGGTGCCAGATCTGAGTCTCGAGTTAAGGAGAATACTACGGAGGTTGAATTGACGGGCTCAGATCTTGTTAAGATCAATGAGATTCTTGCTAGCTTCCCGGTTCAAGGACATAGGTATCCAGCTGCGACGGCTTCTCTCTGTGAGTATTAGGAAGGGATTTACACTGTTATCGTTGCGACACAGGGTGAACTCACTATAGGTAGAAGAACGGATGAAACTAAATTGTGCATTGATAATTCTGGCATGACGCCGTTGCATAGTTACCACATAATTATCAATAAGACTCATGTTCCTAAAAAGAAATGTTAGCAAGACCCCTAATAAAAACTACAGAGTTAAGAGAGCAAGATAGAATCTTCCAAAAAAGACTCCATAAGCATTTGCCACTACTGAGAAAAAAACCTGCATTAGGAAGCTCCTACATTTCGCCTCTCTTTGCTTTGCACCACCCTGTTACCTCCGCGCCTCATTCTTGATGCTTTTCCGCTTTCCCACTGCCAAGACGAACGATGTTAAAAGAAGCAACAATGAGAGATGAGCGGCAGTGAAGGGTACCCAAGAGCAAGAAATGACGTGACGTCAAAGATGACCGCAAAATTACACAAGAAACAAAAGTACTGAATCTCAGATACCACCCAAACTACTTGTATGACCTATACTAAAACCTGTGATATGTAACCGAGACCATATCAAGCCATATCGGATCTCAGTTTCTGTTCCTTTGGTTTTTTTCTTGGAAAAAGGAAGAAAGGAGAGGTGAGGAATGGAGGCTGTCAGAGGGCTCAAGTAGACAACTAGCTCAGTTGAAGTAAATATGCTATATCCTACCTAGATTATCCATCTAGCAATACACTCACTCGATGGTCCGTCATCCATGGAAATGAAAGAGCTCCCAGTATCTCAATCGCATCGTATTGTTTCACAGTTTCACAGTTTCACAGCTTCACCATCATGATATTCATCACCATGAAATATATATATATATCAACAAAAGCCTCCTGCATTGACTGACTAATCGACTAACTGACTGGCAAGGCAAAACGAGAATTCAACGAAACTATCAACTCTTTAAATTTTCCTACACACAATTTTCCATTTATCCTCCTCAATCTTCGCTGCTGTTCTTCTGGCTTTTCTATCTGCTCACTGGTAGTCATCATCCCCACAAGCCGTTGGTACCCTTGGTCAATTTACCATACTCTCTCGGCTCTCATTCCTCGGCTCTCTGCTCAAAGATATCACTCCCCACACTCAAAAACTATTAACAGACACAACTCAAAGCACGAAACGCTCACTCAACAGCCCACAACTCAAATCCATTCGTCAATAATAAGTCCATGCACGCAACAACATCAACTAACACGCAGTCAAGGTAGAAGAAATAATCAGATGCAAGCAAAGAGGAACTATTGTATCTGAGCCTGGTGCAAAAGATTCGATCGGGCAATAAACCTTCTCAAATACATTCACATCTAGCCCAATCACAGAAAAGGAAATAACAAGAAATACGATGAGAAATCCATCAATGACACATGTAAGAAACACCAGGATCCGCGATTGGCGAGATCATGTACCCATCCATCCCAATCCATTGCAATCCAGTTCCCTTGTTGCCCATTTGTCCATCCATTCAATTCATCCATCATTAAAATGCCCGAGATCCGCACAAAGAAAACAGCCGAGACCAAATCCAACTCCGTCACCGAAATTCAATGTATCTTTTCCCCGTTCCATCCTAGACCAAACCTAGAATGCAAGCTTTTTCCATCCATTCAACTGATCCATGTGAATCCATCCTGCATGTGTGTCATACCGAGATGATATTAACCCAATCCCATTCGATTTTGTAATATTCCCCCAAGTGAAATTTCTCAATCAAATATGCTAACATGACCCTTTAGCCTTCAAACCTTTCCTATTCCTTGCGCCAACCAAATCCATAATCAGGGTGTTTTCTGCAGATATATCAAGCAAGCTAGCAAGCGATGAGCCAATCCATTATACTCCAGATGACAATTGAAGAAATGGGCAACCATAAGATGCGATGCGCAAACAATTAACATTTAACCAGGGCGGAGAAGGGAGAGAGATAAGACGGGGTTTACGGGCACTACATCCTAGTATAGTACACGTGTTATATCGCGTGTTAAATTGCAATTAGTCCTCTGAGCGAAATGGCTAGCTGATATTGAGTTCCTGTGCCAATGCCATTGTTGGAAAATATCCCTTCGATTCCGGGACCCCTTCCCACCTTCCACAATGTCTACCCAAAGAGTCTTGTGTACCACTGATACTTGGTAAAGAATAGCCACCAGTATTGTATTCTTGCTTGATTTTTCCGGGCACATATTCTGGAAGACTGGGCAGTTGGTTCCGTGGCTCTGCGCCCTCCCATATTGGCGTTGGGTAGTACATATAGCAAGGAGCATCCTCAATACTTTTGGCTTCTTCAGCAGAAAGAGTAGGTTCCATAGGAATTTGAAGAGGTCCAGTGCGATAATGGTGGGATCGGCCATCGTAAGAACCGTAATTGTTAGACCCGGGAAGCATGGAGGAAGTTCCAGACATGGTAACATCGCCAGGGGTGCGAGATGATCCGGATGGTGTGTATGAACCACCGCCGGCACCACCAGCGCCTCCAGGTCCAGAACTTGCATTACTACCGCGTCTTTCGCTCTGGTAATGTCCGGGTGAGCGACCACGCACCACCATTGGTGCGGACATACGAACGGCAATTTTTACCCAGCGTTCCGAATGATTGTGGTTGGTACCCAAATCTGCGAAAAGTTCCACAAGTAGGTGATAGTATTGTTGGGCAGCTCTCCGTTTGCCGTTATTAGCGGTCGCATTCTTGAATTGGATGCGCTCGAAAGTTGCTTCATTTGGTGGTGAGCTTGGTGACTGACCAAAAGATCCATCGTACATTCCGCGCGGCCCACCACCAATACCGTTGTCGCCGCCATACATGTTATGTGTTGTGTGCGGTCTTGGGGCCACCGCGATTCTTGGCGGCTTATCTTGTGGTCCTTTGTCTCGTTTGGGAGTGTGCTGGACCAATTCTATTGATTTTCCATCGCGCGAATCTACCACGGCAGCTATGGACATCGCAAACTGCTGTACCTGCGGTCTCATTCCACCAGACAACAAAAGATATACGTTTGCTCCTGGAACGATAGGTTGAAGTGTAAATGAGCAACTCAGTGAAAAGTAGTTTCTTCTATAGCAGGTCCAATCGTTTTCTGCCATGAAAAATCCTTTATCAATTTTGCCAAAGATTTCTGGAGTGATGATCTGTCCGTCAGCCGCCTGCAAAGTCAAGATGACTTCTGTCGGATTTAGAGGAGGGGTAAGTGGCCCTCCAAGTTGGGAACCCTCCATATTCGCCGGACTTGCGAATCCGCTGTTAGATGGTGATAACGGTACGCCTCTTACAGTTCCAGAGGTTGACGGAGATCTTGAAATTCCGTCCGTTCTTCGTAAGTGTGGTGTTGCACTTGCGTATAAATCTCGTGTGCTTATTGGTGATTGTGGATGTGGTAAGGCTGGTGAGCGTGAGGGTGGTGCCATTCCAGGGGAGGAGTGACTGTGCGGATAGATCATTATTATCTGTGCACAGAAATGGTGGTGTATCGAAGTACTTAAAAGGGGGTGGAAGGTACGTACATAGAGTTCAAGCGGGGTTTAAGATCGGGCATAGAAAATAAAGACGAGCTCGGAGAAAAGTACGAGTTGCTCCCACCTGAGTACGTGGGACCGTTCAGTGTTGACTGATAGGCATGCGCGTATGGGGGGAATGGGATGTTGGACGGGATTGAATTTGGTATCGTGGGTTCTATCGAGAACACAGGGCTATGAGAGGTACCGGAATCGGAAGTGTAACTGAGCTATCATATCAGCCACGGGTCTAAACAAGTGTAAGACAAAAGAAGATAAGGTTCTGAGAAGACACGGCCTATGGATTAAAATTTCTTCATGGCGGTAATGATGCCCAGGTGGACTGCATGTGTATGACAGCCAACACAGCCGTCAGTGGTACAAAATAGCGGGGACTACTCGCGTGACGCGAACCATTGCGGAAGTGCAGGCGGTTTGGCTTGATCTGAGGCTTAAGTTGTGTGACAACTGGATAAGAACAATGACGGAGTGTGAGTCGTGGCATGTTCATTACATTACCAGCCTTAGCGTAGATCGCACAAGCGGTAGATACATGCATAAATTTGAAATGAACGATAATGAGAGAAAACCCAAGGAGTGTGTATGTGCCTAAATGCAGGGTTGACGAGGGGGTTACATCGGGTGAAAAGAAATGACCAACGAAATTTGGGGGTAAACTTACCGTACATCATCTGTCGCTGGAATCGTCATGTATCGCATCCCCATATCAGAGGGTAACGACGGAGGGTGAACAAATTCCTGTCTTGAAGAGCTGTCAGGCTCTGGTTCGGATCCGACAATACACGAAGACGAATGCCCTGAATAGGCGGTTAGGTCTTGGATATTACCAGATTGAGAGCACATGAAGTGATCGAGTGTTATTTTTTGAGGTGTAAGGACTATTGGGTAAGATGGTTAGTATCGGATGATTTGAAAATTCCCGAGATATTTAAGGTAATAAGATTGAGATAGGTTATTGCAATCTTTATGGATAAAAAGACACAAACGAGGTGAACCAGAAATGAGAACGAAAAGGAAGGTTGCAAAGACAGTGCCAATTGGATAGACAGTGAATTGTATTGTAAAGGCGTGATTAATGAAGATTTTGGGAGGGGGGGGGGAAGAGGGAGGGGAATTCTGGCAAAATTCAGATTGAATGATATGATAGGGAGTGGGATGTATAACGTTTTTGGGGTTAGGCTACTTTTGTGCGCCTCTTTTTGAATCTCAATTTTTTGATTGAGAGGATGAATGGTAGAATATTGCAGAATGGAGGGTTGTGTTGATGATTTGATTTTGAACGTCGCACTCGGGAACTTCTTCCATGAAACGTTCCGTTTGACCAATTCACTGTCAGGGCCCGGCATTACACTGTATTGCTCTGCGGTTTGTGCTTCATCAGGCGTGAGATGTAAGATGTAAGATGTGAGGTGTGAGGTGTGAAGTGTGAAGTGTAATGGTGATGTGATAGGCATGATATGATGATATGATTGATATTTGATATGAAGACCGCATTGGAGGAATGGAGAATTACTACACCAACCATTTCGCGAGAATCATCAACGACAACTCCAAAATAAAAACGAGCAAGTATCGAAAATTATTCTCTTTGACTTCGACACTTTTTTTTCTTCTTCAATCAATTTTCCCATGAAGATATAAAATCAAAAAAGAGATGTGGGAAGTTGTTCCGAAGACAAGCCAAAATCAATTGTTTTTTGTGGATAGAGCATATTCCATAAAAAAGGTGAAGCTGAAAGCTGAAGAGATGTACAATTTCGTTGAAGAATTGAAAAAGAGAGGAGGGGCGTCGATCACAGATAAAAGAGGATTGATGGCTGGCTTACTTACTATCGTTCATTTGCAGCCTCGCGCCTTCCAAATATACCGACTTTCCACGATCGTGGAAAATGTTATCTTGATGAAGCCTTGGTGTGAAAATTTCGACGTCAAGCCGGATAGAAGAGAAGGGATTGAGAAGAAGTGGTACCAATCGTGGATGGTGGTGAAAACGAATAAAGAATACTCGAAGGAAGAGAGTTTTGATGGTGGATATGATGGTTGACCTTGGGGTATAATCTTTCTTATGACGATGAGTCGTCTAAGGTAAGACACGAAAAGACAAACAGCAGCAACAACGGGTTGTCACCGTCGTCCGTCCCGGAAGTTGGGTTGAACGAAGGAAGTTGTTGATGGAGGCTTTTATTTTAGCGGAAGATAGATGATATAGGTAGTATTTTGGATGTAGGTAAGTAAGTAGTAAGTAATAAGTGTGTGTGCACGGAGCGGTGCTAAGTCAAGCCAGAGGGGGAAATGGCAGTACGGTAGGCGATAGAGGGTAAAGGCGATAAAATGATCTTGATCTTGATCTTCACCTGAGTCAAATGGGAAAATATTAAAAAAAAGCCTCCCAAGGAGAAATGCGCAATGATTCAAGGAACAAATCTTTTTTCCTTCTCCCTCCTATTCTTTCTTTTTCTTACTTTCTCTGCCTTTTCTTCCCTTGTCTTGGTCCTTTCCTGCTTCTCTGAAAGGCTGCCTTTCGTGACTGCTTGCTGCTTCTTGCTGCTTCTTGCTTGCTACTCGCTGCTAGAAGCTATCGTACGTGCTTTCGCAAAATTACAATCCAAGAATGTAAAAGCAGAATTGCCGTTGCCTATTCGTCGCCTACTTTTCTGTATAGGTACTCATGCAAACGCACTGTGCGAACAGGCCTGAAGAGTCCCTGTAGAATTGGAATTTGAGGCCTGGGGTGGGGATTGGTTATGGGTCGGTTTTGATGGGGTCCCAAGTAGCCTTGTCGAAACAAGATTCAAAAGATAAAAAAGACCTATGATAGAGGATCCGAAATTGGTGAGAGTGGCTTTCTTGCGCCGCTAATATTTTCCCGTTGAGTTCCACGAATATCCTAAATTGTCCCCTGAAAAGGCCTCAGATACCCACCCAAGATTAGAGCACTCGGCGAAAGTTACGCTGAAAGGGCTGTGGGAAAAATTCAAGAATCGCGATTGAACAAGGTCGAATCTGCTGAATAGAGTATCGAGGGTATGATTAATGCGACGGCTGTAATGGAGCGGTAATATGCACGAAATTGCCAGGAATATCCTCGCAGTACCGTCCGTACTTCTCAACGTTCGGTAGGGAGATGTTGATTTTCTTGCTTGAGTCTTACCCGTACCCGGCTTATTGTTTCGAATCCTTACGCACAGGGGGGACGTTTGAAAGCGGCGTGTAGTGATGGAATGAATTCAAGAAAAATAAAAGGTGGTGTCAAGAAGACTCAAAGAATCCTACAATCTCACAATCGAGAGAGCTGCTCTTAATCGAAATCTTTTTTCTCTCTCTATTGATTGGCTCCTTCAAGTGTGTTTTGAGAAATCTCTTTTTGTCCAGTCGTTACTCGTTGCTGTGCTGAAATGCACTGAACTGCACTGCACCGTATCGCCGGTTTGTTTGCTGAATTGCTTGTTGTCTCCGGCAAGGCTTCTTTTTTGGCCGTTTTAGGGGTTCAACTTGGTCGCGGAAGCGCAACGGTAGAGTAGCTCCGAGCTTGACTGTTATTGTCGCAATCTAAGTTTTCGGGGGTGGCAGTTGGCGTCTCGTGGGAACTGGAACCAGCTTCCGACAATGATAGTGATGATTTACTGCGTCCTTGATAGGCTGGCTGTATGGGTATGAAAATGATATGAGATCCCTTAAAATCTAATGCCTGCTGATCCTTCTATTTTGGGGGCCAAGTATGGAAAAATAGAGTAATAGCGGTTGTTGAGTAGGCCGTGCGTGTAGTAAGAACTACCCGTGTGTAGGCAAGAGTATGCCGATTATGAAAATGACCCAGATTGTTGATGCTTGATTGAGATAAGTACAGTACAGTACAGTACGGTCGGTTGGAGTGGGTGTACTGTAAAGTATGCAGGCGAGGATAAGTCTGGGATAGTGGGTATGTGTGCGCGTGTATGATGGGTGGGTGGTTTCGAATGTCTCAACGAAGTATGTATGGTATTGTATGTACTTTTATAGAGTATCAAAGAGCAATTTGAGAAAAGTTATGATTTGAGATGAAAATATTTCACTCTTCCTTCTGGATATCCTCTTATTTTGTTTCAATGTTTGCTTCGGGGAATAATCCGATCGAGTTCAATTGAAACAATGAGATTGCGGAAAATTGCAGAAATTTCTTGAGAACTAACGTACGAAAACTGTTGGCTATAATGCAGTTAGCCTACGAAGCCTTTTTCAGACAGACTTCCGATCGAATGAACAAGGATAACAAGCTCGACACAATGCAAGAAGGACGATTTCGGGATGGTGAATATAATTTGTGGGTGAAGAATAGATAATATGCCCCTCCACCAAAAGGGTATAACGTGGCCAGGGTCTTGAATGCACGGCTGATCCAATGCGCCGGTTAATGGTCGATGAAATGATCGTGATAAAACAATGAGAACAACAATGAGGAAAGATTCATGTACTGACGGGATGAGCGAGATCTCAATTCGCTGAAGTTTGGATATTTGTAAGAAGAGTGTCAGTGTGCTGATCTCAGTAGTGCAGTGCAAGCTTGATTGGCAACTGATGGTCCCTTGGACTTGCCGCCTGAACAAATTTGTTATGCGGAGAATGGATGTATGGATGTATGAATGGATGAATGAATGGATGATAATCTGTATCCCTGATGTTGACTTGAAACGTTCTCTGGTAACGTAATTTTATATTGATGCGAGATGATGTTGAAGGAGCAGGAGCAGGATCTTGCAGATTAATGATATTGATATGTATGATGAGTATGATAGGTATATTGCAAGCTGCAGTCTATTTTCAAGGAGGAGAGATGTTGAGATATATGATGCCCGAATATTGATACTAACGCCGTCGAGTTTGGTTGGAAAGTCTCAAGATATTTGCTGATCATTAGCACGTGGAGTACTCAATACGTCTATCTCTTCCAGGACATATCAGTTCAATCTTTTTCGAGTAGGTTGACGTGATTTTTGGCTACAACGAGTTCCAATCTCCTGGAACTGGATTTAACGTTACCAAAAGCCGGAGGTACCGAAAGATACTTGTACAAAGTTTGAATCAATAAAGCTTCCGGGTGAACAGAACGTTGCGCAAGATCAAGACCCAAATGATAGTGATTTGTTTTTTGGAATCAACTAAGACTTTGGTAGGAAGAACTCAAGTGTATTAGCTTCCTTTAAGCTTTACTGACAAGCAGCACAAGATGTAGGATCTAGCTCAAGATCATTGTCGACAGTTTAGGCCGAATTGTAGGAACCTAGAATAGACCCAACGAAAAAGATAACTAAAGTTCGTGGTCCAGCAACCAGCTGTCAAGACCTTCTTTTGCGTTGACAAACTAACACTCGAACTGGGGGTCCTTTGATGCAGGAACACAATATCTAGCTGCTGGAAGTCTATCTAGATTTGGTGGAGCAAGTCTGTGGATGATCTACCAAATCTGAGCTATCACATCCATCAGGTACCGCCGGTGTAGAGTGCCCGAAGCGTGCTTTGAGAGCCTCACACGATTTCCTTTTTCTGCAAATCATCAGTGGCGGGCGGGGAACGATTTAGTTAGTCAATCCCAAGCCGAAACTCAAATGAAAATCAACAAGCAAGGTATCGACCAAGGTAGCTAAGATGGCTGAGGTCTGATGTGCATGCTGAAGCGAGAATTATGATTGGACCATAGGAGATATAAATTTGGCAGCGCCTTTTACGAGCTATGATCCTCGAGATGCGCCATCAAAAGGATCGAAATATTTCTATTGGCCGTCAAAGTGAAGGAAGGTGCATCACAAAACCAATTGAAGCCCTTGATGTTCTTTTTTTTGTTTGTTTGATTTTGCAAGCTTTTCCGAGACAGACTGTAAGTGGGGGGGGGATTTCAACCTGTTGTGACACTACAAGATTAGCAAGTTAAGCGTCAAAGTTATTTTGAAGGCTGCCGAATCGCATATTAGACCCTTTGAATAGGAAACGCACAATAAGACTTGCTGTCGATACCGGTGTTGTAAGAGTAAGTTGGAGTTTCTGCAATGTCAATGTCTAGGTTTGTCGTTGCCTGCTCCCAAAATTAGGAAAAAAAGCTTGCGCGATTTTTTAGACTACGGCAATTTTTAAGCAATTAGCGTATGGGGGGAAAGTCCACTAGTTTTCCTAAACCCAAGTAAGTATTTTGCGGATTTACCCCAAGGTTGAAGCTGCAAGATGCAAGATGCAAGGTGCAAGATGCAAGGTTCAAGGTTCCAAAGTAAAGTACAGCTAGCAATAGCAAGCAATAGCAAGCAACAGCACACTTTCTTTTCGCACACTACTCGATTCTCCATTCTCGATTTTTAACTTCTCAACTTCTCAACTTCTCAACTTCTCAACTTCTCACTAGTCTTAGATAGAAAGTGTATGGCGACGGCGTAATCCACTACCGATAATTACATCAATATCCAACTAATGTCATCCAATCCACTTCCCTTCCTACTAAATTAATTCATCCCAAATTCCCCAAATTGATGAAAAGGGCCGTCTCTCATGGTGACATGGTACTATTGAAGCTTTTCGGACTCCAATGTCTCAGCCCCTTAGTATTATCGTTGATGTCAGAAAGATAAAGGTCCCTAGTCAATAGGAGTCCTTCATCAGACGGTAGTGGCGTGTTTTCAGCGTGCATTGAGGAGGGATATCAAGATGCATTTCGATCAATTTCGATCAATTATCTAGGTACCTAGTATCCAAAATAACACTCACTCATTCTATTATCGTCCTCTCCACTTCTAGCTGACCGAGTCAAATGGTTAACGACTGACGGACAACTACGGCTCTCATCCATCGGTAGGCATATCAGCTGCTTCCCTAGACTGC